TCGCCCTTTGTTCAGTGTTGGACATGATCAAGTAGGGACTATTCATCAGAGAATTATGCCCAACAATGAACAATGATAGAGGCCTGGACCTAGTGCATACATGTATAGGAAGTGGGTAAAATTGGTCAGACACATGATTTGCAGTAATCATGTGATATACAGCTATGACTCTGACAATTGACTAATCAAGACATTAGGATAACATTAAAATATCTTCGTTAAAACTATCTTTGCTCTTTCTTTATAGATTGTCTGATGGAAGGAATAAAAGGCTGACAGTCCTGACTGTATAAGTGGATGCTAGCCAGAGAAAATAGCAAAGTGATGGCTATTGTGAGAAATCAAAACAGCCGACATTTCAGGATCCACCAATAAAGATATACTGACTGTTTGACTAATTAAGGATGGTGCCCACTATTATTACTGCGCACATTTTCTGCACATGCCAAAGTAGTCACGCCTGGCGCGAAAGAAATGCGCAACACGCAGAACACGCGGACTGGTTTTGTCTCGTCTAAGTCTGGGAGGTTCTAGTTATTTCTTGTGGAAAAGATACATTGTTTTTCAACAGATGAAAAATAATTTCTATTTACCTTGTCAGTTCTTTGAAAACCGAAGAAGTATGCGCATGTTGCTATTTCTGCCATATGGTCGATCTGACTGAACATTTTATAGTCAAACAAAAGTCAGTTCTAAAACATCAAAAGTTATTGCTTTGAGATGTTACACTTGGAGCTTGGGTATTAAACAATCCCCTCATAGGCAAGGATCAGTAAATTAGAAGGAAAATAGCTCTAAGTCCTCCGCTTAATAGAGAAACTGCAAGGGTACCTTTCACTCGGGTCCTTCGTGTTTTATCAGCTAATCGGCTGTTAACACTTTTCCCGAATATTTCTTTAATTTTGTAAGATTTTATGTAATATTATTCACCAGAAGATAGACTTTAAGCGTTCAAGTACATACAGATGTCCCTTTTATTGAGAGTCTGAGGCTTTTATTTGTCGAACAAGCAAGAAAAATACTATCACAAGATTGCTTGGATTGCTGAGATCGCAGCTTCACAAATAGTTGCAGACCGCAAAGGAAACGCTTTCATTGTGGAAAAAATCGTAAAAAATTGTTATGCTTTTTACTATTATCATTGTTATTGAAGTATTTTGGCATTACTAAGCATAAAAATTATTGACTCATTGGCAGCTAGTGAAGGAAAAAGATGCAGATAATATAAGGAAAGTACTTTGTAAATCATTCATTTGGTGGTTTTAAGAATTAAAGTTGTGTTGTTATAAGTACTGAGTCGACTGTTTTGGTTCACCGTGGTTATTCTCTTGTTGCTGTTGAAGTGCAATTGAAAGTCTAGGAATACAAAAAAAACACTTAATGTCAGGTCCCTCGACTCGGGAAACATCAGGACTCTTGGGAAAACAAAACTAACTGTTTCCCTCGGAATCTGACATTGTTTACTAGAAAATTTGCTCAAACGATTTTAAGAAATCACCTCGGCTTTACAATATCTGCAATTAAATTATGCTTCATGTAATGTTAAGGTTGATAACCTAAAATTAATTATTTCCTTCCAAGTAAATTAGCAAACTGCCTAAATATATTTCTACTCATATCATGTTATTCCACTCAATAAAACAATATGTAATTATTTTGTCAACTAGCTTCTTCCAATTTAATTCCCCGTTACGCATCTTTAATAATAAAATAAAATATGTTTCCATAACTGTAATAACTCTTAAGCAGCAAGCATGCATCATGTTCAGGACTCACCTAATTCATGTTTTTTTTTTTCTGGCCAGTATGAAAAGGGTCTGTTTTAAAACTTTGTATGTGAGAGAATAAAGCTTGTTTACAGGATTAACAATACTCGCCTTGTCTCTCTAACTTCTATGACAATTCATAGGCCGCAGACTTCCGAATTAAAGTCCATATCTAAATTTCAATTATTGTTTCACTGGAAGAACTTTGAAAAATATATGATCTTTTATGCTCTACCTTGAAGCAGGTGAAACAGAACTCATAAATGATGAAATACATGCATTGTACCGTTCGCGATAGCCGAATTAGGTCAAAGGTCTTGGAGCAGCACCCACACTAAAAAATGTAGACCCGTCAACAGGTGCATCACTGTACTCAGCATTTGAATCATGAAGATATTTCAGTGTTATGCTTCTAAACAACGTAAAAATTGTGAAGAAACAAGATGGCTGTCTCTAAGTGCCCTTGTTTGACCTCAAGCAATGTCATTAACGGTTGTCATTGGCTTCTACGCATGAACCCATAGTACCTTCAACCTTAACTTATTGGCTCCTGCAACAAACATCTGAACATACAAAGTCACAAAGCCACAAAGATACATACGCTCACACCACTGACATATAAGAGCTATTTTTTCAAAATAGCTCAAAAATGGATTTACAAGGAGATGGGAATTGGTCTTACTGAAAAGAAAAAAACAACTAGCTTAATAACGAACAGCCTGCAAACTACTAAGCTGACCCCTTTCAAATGTGAAATTTCTTATGAGTGCCGAACACCTATTTTAGTTGAAGAAAGTAGTCATATACGGCAGTTAATTGAGACATCGGTATAATGGTGATGAATTTAAATCCATTTGTTGGAAATATTACCAGTCTGTAGAAAAAAATGTTACCCGATATGGATAAGGGTTTCTATAATCAATGCATTATATTTGGCACATGTGAAATGCGACTTCTAAATCAAATGTTGAACCTAAATCGAATTTTCGACTGTAATTCAGTCGCAGATTTGGCAAAGTCGTATTTACAGTGAAACCTGTATTAAGCGGACACCCTTGGGGAATGCTGTAGCGTCCGCTTAATACAGGGTGTCCGCCTAATACAGGTTTCAATAGATAACGTCATATGAGGTGTCAAATGCCATTCAAATAAACAGTGGAAATGTTTAGAATACTCCCAGAGACTATGCTGATGTGAGTTTGCATGAATTTCTTTATCAAAGTGGTCCAGTTGATCATAGTCGAAGAAATCAGATGAGTAAAGAAAGCTCTATACAAACAAAACTAAATAGAAAACAATACTGTACTGTGAAACTAATCAAATAAGTTCGTCAAGTCGCGTTTTTTAATGTAAAAATCGAAAAATTTGTGGGTGGCAATTTGAGGCAATCTTTCGCATTTCCGGTGTCTGGCATGTTGGGTGGTGGAATTTAATTACAACACAGGCAAATTATGTCCAACCGTTGTTATCTTTACTGGTAAAGTCCATGAAAAATCCACACCGCGTCCGCTTAATAGAGGTGTCCGCTTAATAAAGGTTTCATTTAAAGTAAATAAGGGAAATAAATTTGAGGACTTCAGCTACAGTCCGCTTAATAGAGGGTGTCCGCTTAATACGGTGTCCACTTAATATGGGTTTCACTGTAATTTGAAACTGTTGATTCAGACGTCACATTTCAAAGCAGTTACCTCTCGAATTAAATTAGGCACATGTGAAATTCGACGTTTGAACTGGGTAATGGTAACAGTTTTCCAGTATTGCTATAAATAGCAGTAGATACGCTATGATACATATGGCATTTTTTATGTTCCTCTAAATTTTGCTTTCAATTTACCACATTATCTTACTAGCTATATGCACCACACAGGTAAGAAAGAAAAGAGAGTAAAAACGAAAATGAAAAAAAACACTAAGGTCACGAAAAATTTGCTTCAAGGGGATTCAAACCCGGACCCTCTGAATACATTAGGACAAAACCTGAACGCCTAATCCACTGGACCACCTTGGCAAGCCCTGACAATTCACGTTTAAAAGAGGTATATATTCCTTCTCCATGATGATTGACAGTTTTCAAGGATGACTTTTTCGGTTTCCGTGTAGAATTAAATCCTTAACTGACTGAAGCCAGACCTAAATCTCATAATAAACCCATTAATACTCTTTCAGGCCTGGTCCATGCCGGGGAACGTTTAAGAAATTTATGAACTATCGATCTCGCGGCTACCAACTGAACAGTATGACCGTGCGATTCTCTCCCTGCTCATAAGGTGTATTTTCATCGGTTGGGGAAAACATTAACACAACCTTGTCTATCATTATTTCCATTGTTTTAGGTTAAGGTAGCAAACCATTTGGCTTTTAAGGTTAGAAGAACTGCTACATGATCTCTGTCCCAGAATGAAGAAAAACAATATGGCTGCCAAATACATCCTTTTAGCTTTGAAAGTTCTCCTTTATTAACAAACGTTAAACATCTATTTTGGCAAACAAACAGTTAAGTTGAAAAAGGATTTTACAAAAGTGTCAACAAGTAGGTCTCCTTTTCGATGTTAATTTGCAATATTGGTCGATTTACGCATCTTTTAAACTTCTGGCTCAGTTTTTGTTTGCTTCTGTTTTGAAAATGGAATAATAACTACTTAAGGAGTAATACAGTGTTAAGATTTGTAGAGAAAAACAAGAAAAACTTGCAGATTTATGGCGAAAAATGTACTTTAAAAACGAACTAAAATATTTAAAATGCTCGGATCACGTGACTTATGACGTCATGCCCCTCTTTTGGTAATGAAAAAATTGTCAGGTAGAACATTACTTTCCTGCAAATTTTCTCGGCCATGTGATGAAAATAATGTCAACTCTCTACTGCCCTTGGCCTAGTTTCCTGACTTTTTCGCTCATGTTCATTGCCCCCTTCAATTTGAAATTCCGGACGTAAACTGGTTATTTTTAAATGCTGCACACAACCAAAACCTCAAATATGCTATTTTGTTTTAACCCAATGAAAAAATCTTGTCACAGCAACAAAAAACCCTAATTCAACGATGGTCACTTGACTGATGACATCATCACTGTAGATGTGACATGAGAAGATATTTTATGGCAAGTGTTATCTTGTTGTGGTATGACATTCTTCTACGTATAAAATTGTCAAAGTTATAAAGCTTTCAAAAAAAATTGCCTCAAAGGATTCTGGGATAATTTTTATGATAATTATAATTTACTTTTATAATTAAGATGATGATGATGATGATGATGATGATGATGATGATGATGATGATGATGATGATGATGATGATGATGATGATGATAATGATGATGATGGTGATGATGATGATGATGATGTAACTGACTAGCTAACTGTTTGTATGGTTGATTGTCTGCTGGACTGACTGTTTGATTCATTAACTGACTGGCTCAATGTTTCAAATGGTTGATTGACTGCTGGACTGACTGTTTTATGGTTTAAGTCCCATTGTCTTATTTTTGGGCTGAGACAGAATTGATAGGAAACTGAATTGAATGGTACTTAATATTTTTCTCACAATCCTTGAGTAATAACTGTTTCTTCTAACAAGGTGATGCATTTATTTGAGGATGTTTATTATTGGTAACTTTGCTTCTTTCCCTGGCTTTTAATAGAGAGGAGAAGTCACTACATCACATTGCCATGGTAGCAAAATTTTTTGATGACAACAACCTAAAACGTCACTTACACTGTAAAAAGTGGATTCGCACTGCTTCAAACTTCATCGATCTTTTTTCATTTCATTTAATTTGTCAAATGTTGGTGAAATTTTCTGGGTCAAATCGGAAAGGAGGGTATGTAAGTTTAGAAAAAGAAAAACAAAACTTTTGTGTTGTGCTCTGCACCTACTCCATAAGGTGGGCGCGTGAAATTAGGAAGTTTCATGTCGCGGTCATACAATCTAATTTTGCCAATCTAAACCTATTGTTTTTTTCTGTTCGCTGTTACTGTTGCAAAAACTCCCTATTGTTGCCATCCAGAAATTTTGCTACCATGGTAACATGATGTCAGACTTCTCCTTTCTATTACAGGTAGTATTAATTGAGTACAGTGAATTTATAGGGTATGTCACACATGGTATATGAACACAACATAATTTTCACTGTAAAAAAATTTTGACTTTGTTTTTATCATCAGGATTTAGATGTTATTATAAATTATTGCTATTGTTTAAAGAGTATGATAATACTAAACTAAGATGTTTTAAAATAATTCTTTTACCATTTCTAGTCAATTAAAATATCATGCAATACAAACCTGATGTTGCAAGACTCTCCACAATCCACAGCCCAACTCTTGAACCAGGTAAACATGATGTCTCATATCACTTGCCCTCTAATCCATCCTCTCCATTCTCTCCTAAACAAGGTTCTTGTACTAGGTGATGTCATCCAGCCAGCTCTAGTTTGCCCTGTCCATTGCCCAGCCATCTGTCTTGTTTCGCTTCCAGTCTGTCCTCTCCATTATCTAGTTGGTTGTACTAGGTGTAATTGTTATGTCATCCAGCCAGTTGATTTAATCCCATCTAGTGTCCAACACTGTGCGCCCATTAATGTAACCCTCTCTCAGTCTACCATGCTTGTAGTTGCTTCCTGTTGGACAAGAAAGAAAATTCTTATGACATGAATATTTACATTTAAAGGTAAATTTTAATAATAAGTGCTTCTACCAAAAGATGGATTCTGCATGACCGGCAAAAGCAAAGAGAGAGAATGTTTTGAAGAAGAAAATAACAATGAAAACTTCAACAACAGATCATTCGTGTGATTTTTCCGAGGAAGAAGTGGATAAACTAAGAAATGTTGCTTTCCCCAAAAAAGAATGAAATGCAATGAAAAAATATCCAGTTTTAGTAACATACATGTACAGACATTGTTTAAAAGAATTCAAGACTATTTTAATGCAATGTATATAATAAATGTAGGCGATGGATCCAAGCTGCATCATTGTTCAGTGTGCTGCGTCTTAAGTACAGGTCACATGCCACAGGTCAAGAGTATACAGGTCACTGCTCCGTCGATAAATTACCAAACCACACAGATTATACCCTCAATCTAATAGAGTATTTTGCTAAGAGATTAGAGCTAGGAGACAGTTTTAATGCTGTTTGTTTATCTGTATCATGGTGACCTGTACTCTGACCTGTGGAAAAGTCACCTGTATTTAAAGGAACAGTATCCTGTCACTGCGCATGCACTAAACTTTGATTTCTGGACAGGATGACGCCAAATCAAAAGATGCGAGGAGAGTAAGAGAACCTTGAAAAATCTGTTTGCATTACGCTTGGCCAAGTGCGATACTACACTAAAACTTCTCAGGATTACAGATCAATGATATATTGTTCCCGCTGAGTTTCGATTTGGGCAAAATCTGGATTTTTTGGTGTAACTTTTATTGCCGTTGGCTGGAGGACCAAAAGATGGGAATTGCTTTGATGCTGATTGAAGGCTTATTTCTTCTGCCAGCCTCCATACAAGCTCAGATAATTGTGAAAGGAATACGCAAAAATGAAACAGCAACAATAGAGACTGTAAGAAAGAAACTATTGAGACATGGATGTGACTCAGGAGATCTTGTGGAATTAAGTTTCGTGAAGCAGAATGAGTAAACTTTTAAATGAACCTCCCTACGGCCGACAAAATCAAACAAACAGGTGCTACATGTTTAGAAAAACTAGTGCAATGAAATCATCATATAATTAATTTTTTGACTGATAATTCATCGCATTGAGATTGCATTTTTATCTATATCTTTCAAACATTTGAGGCTAGAATGCAAGCAAATCAGGTAAATATTACTGGACTTGGAACAATTGACCTCTGACACGAGTTTCACATTAGAAAAGCTGTTTTTAAAGCGTGCGGAACAAGATTTTCGGGTCACGAAGCGGCCCTGCTAGCTACAAAATCGCGATGAGTCTTCGTGCTGCAAGCCAAATTTTAAATAAGACAAAAAACTTCTTCGAAAGTCTAAAATATTACTTGAGAATGTAAACAACAAATCTCCATCAGCGGTGCAGTGCAGAAGGAAATCTTGTCGAGTCATTATGACAGTTCTATTGTCTTTTGAAGAAAAAACAGATGATGCGCGTGCGTGCGCACAATCGGGACACTGTCAGGACACTGTCCCTTTAAGGCCACCCATTGTTCAGTCTTGGTCATGATCAAGTAGGGACTATTCATCAGAGAATTATGCCCAACAATAAACAATGATAGGGGCCTGGACCTAGTGCCTACAGGTATAACAGAGGGTAAAATTGGTCAGACACATGATTTGCAGTAATCATGTGATTAATACAGCTATGACTCTGACATTTGACTAATAAAGACATTAGGATAACACTGAAATATCTTGGTTAAAACTATCTTTGCTCTTTCTTTATAGACTGTCTGATGGAAGGAATAAAAGGCTGACAGTCCTGACTGTATAAGTGGATGCTAGCCAGAGAAAATAGCAAAGTGATGGCTATTGTGAGAAACCAAAACAGCCAACATTTCAGGATCCACCAATAAATTAACTGACTGGCTAATTGTTTGAATGGTTTATTGACTAATAGACTGACTCTTCTATGAAATATCTGATTGGCTAACTGTTTAAATGGCTGATTGACAGCTGACTCATGAACTGACTTTTTGACTGATTAACTAACTGACTGGCTAACTATTTGAATTGTTGATTGGCTTATTTACTGACTATTTGATTGATAAACTGACTGGCTAACAGTTTGAATGGTTGAATGACAAACAAATTGTTAAAGTCCTATTAATATCAACTCGACAAATGTTGCTCAGAGGGAAGACTCGAAGGTTTCAAGGTTTCTTAAGATAATGAAGCTCATTGAATACTGAATAGCTAACAAATGCCACGATTGTCATCATTGTTGTAAATGGTGATCAAAGCATCATGGAAAGTGGCGTGACAGAAGGCAGGAAAAACACTGCCAGTTTTCTTTTTCGTGAATGAACAAAACAACACAAACACAAAGCCTCAAGCTAAAAAGCAACGATTTTTAAAGTCATCCCAGAAGGGAAACAGCAGCTAGTGAAGGAAAAGGATGCAGATAATATAAGGAAAGTACTTTGTAAATCATTCATTTGGTGGTTTTAAGAATTAAAGTTGCATTGTTATAAGTACTGAGTCGACTGTTTTGGTTCGCTGTGGTTATTCTTTTGTTGCTGTTGAAGTGAAAGTCTAGGAATACAAAAAAAAACACTTAATGTCAGGTCCCTCGACTCGGGATACGTCAGGACTCTTGGGAAAACAAAACTAACTGTTTCCCTCGAGATCTGACATTAAGTGTACATTGTTTACTAGAAAATTTGCTCAAACGATTTTAGGAAATCACCTCGTTTTTACAATATCTGCAATGAAATTATACTTCATTTAACGTTAAGGTTGATAGCCTAAAATTAATAATTTCCTTCCAAGAAAATTATCAAACTGCCTAAATATATTTCTACTCGTATCATGTTATTCTACTCAATAAAACAATATGTAATTATATTGTCAACTAGCTTCTTCCAATTTAACACCCTGACCTGACTGCTACTGTTTTGACTAAGAACGGTGCCCACTAATGGGGAGTATTTTTTTCCCACATAATGACTATGTGAGACAAGTAGATCATACCAGGGGCTATTGAAATCTAAAAAAAAAACTGGGGGTAACCACGCATTTTTCAGAGATAACTGTGCCTCAATATGGAGAAAAATCCTGAATAGGCATTTTTCAGAAAAATGATAAAAAGTTATATTTTCCCCAAATTTCAGAGTGTACGCGTGAACTGGCACAAATGCAATGATAATTGTAATAAGGTTTCAAAATAAGCAACAAATGATAACATAACTGCTCTTTATACGTCTTTTTTTGAAATATCAGCACAACTAGGAAGTTATCAGCAGTTACCCCTCCCCACGCGTTTGCCTTAAAAACAGTGTAAACGACATTTTCCCCGAACCAAAACTTGATTGTTTGCTGAGAAGGCTTATTACTTCCATTTGGTAAGATAAAAAGTAGGGGTTACCATGCATTTTTAGAAGTTAAATTGGTTGGTTTCGACCTTAACTTAATCGCTTTGGGGGTTATTTAGAAATTTTCCCATCCCCTGCCTGGTCAGTTTCACTATTGCGTCACTCAACGTGGAGTACTCAGGGATATCCACAATGGCTAACAGTCAGAGAAAACAACAACACACGGAGGAGAGTAAAAACAGAAAGTGAAGTGGGACACTTGAAGTGGGATTTTTCATCTGTTAAAAAACGATGGATCTTTTCCACAAGAAATAACTCGAACTTCCCAGACTTACAGGAGACAAAACAGTCCGCATGTCCTGCGGGTTTGGTCATTTCTTTCGCGTCGCGTGAGACTACCTTGGCATGCACAGAAAATGTGTGCAGTAACAATAGTGGGCACTGTCCTTAATGCCAATTTATTTGGAACTTCATATGACTCATGGAAAGTATGCCAATAAATGATGCTGTTGTTGTTGAAAGGGGAAAATGACTCGTTTAAAAGGTCAGTCACACAATCATTCAACCCTCAATTAATGACCCGCCTGTTAAATGAATAGGTACTTTTCTTCTATGTGTTCTGAGGGTAAATGATAAAAAACTCAAAGCTAAAAAAGGGGAATCCAAAAGTTAATGCATCAAAGCAGAAAATTTTAAGACTTGAGAACGTAGAATGAGCAAGGAACAGCCATCAACAGACATCAGGTAAAAAAGTTACAACTTTTGTTATATTTCTTATAGAAAACAGCAATTTCTGAAATTTAATTTCTATTAATGAGAATAGGCCTTTTACAAAACAGGTTGCTATTTAATACGGAAATAATATATATAACAGGCCTACTTATTTTTGAAAAGCCTAACTATGATAAAATATTTGTCGCAATTCATGTGCGTGCTGAATAGAGTACAAGATAGAGATTGATCAAACTTGACGATTTTCAGTCTCAAAACCTAAAAAATGTACGATAAGTCACATTTCTGCTGAGAGCCGGATAGAGTACCAGTTAAAGCATAACTAGTTTCAACTGATAAAAGTGAGAATTTTGGACTTTTTAGATGCTATATACAGTGTGAAGACGACGCACGGTTTATCTCATGGTCAATTTCGTATACTAGTTTCAACACTATTTTCACTCTTAAAACCTAAAAAATCTACGATATATGTCACATTTTTGTTGGGTGGCGAATAGAGTGCGAGGCAGAAAATAACCAAAGCTGCCTTTTGTTACTCTGTAAAACCTAAAAAATGTGCGATATATGTCACATTTCTGCTGTGTACCGAATAGAGTACGAGATAAAACCTGAAAAATCTACGATGTATGTCACATTTTTGTCGCATGCAGAATAAAGTATGAGAGAAGAATAACCAATGTTGCCATTTTATACTCTGTAAACCAGAAAAATGTGATGTATGGCAGATTTCTGCAGCGTGCTGAATAGAGTACGAAATAATTAAAGAATGATCACACTTGACTATTTTCAGTTTCAAAACCTGAAAAATGAACAATATTTGTCACATTCAGCTGCATGCAGAATAGAGTACAAGAGAAAGAATGTTTAAAGTTACCTTTTTTCACGCTGTAAACATAAAAATGTACGATATATACCACATTTCTACTACATGCTCTAAGTTGAGCTTCCCGAGTAAAACTTTGTCAAGAACCTTCGCAGGACTCTTCTCGGCCAATGTTTTTCTCTTGTGCATACCGAATAGTCTGGTATGAGACTAACAACGAGCTACCTTCCGTTTTGCAGTGTAGGTCGTTTTGTACGCGAATTATACTTCAAACAACTTTTCATGCAAGCGTTACTTCTTTAATTCCTTGAAATCTGTGTATATTTCTCCTCTGAGAACAGGTTTTTTTTTACAAAGGATTGCAACAAGTAGGGTACTTTCTTAAGACCAATTTGTAATTAAATTTCTTTCTATCACGAGAGATCAAAATGCAGCGATACCCAAATGAGTGGCAGGTGTTGCGCATATTTTTTACCAAATAGCGAAACAGGTTGTCTTGGAAGGGAAAAACAACAAAGCCTAGGTGCAGGCCCTCAAATGAATCCGACAAAGAGCAACTAACCATTTTGTGGGTACAGAACTCTGGGGATAGTGGTCCGGGAGACAATGGAACATTGCATATCTCAAAAGAGGAAGCTATTGAACGACCACGTGAGATTCATTCCTCTCCATCTGAAGTCTGTAAGGAGGTTGGCTTGAATAGCTTAGTAAGGCAGTTTGGTCGTCGCTTCCATTGCAATGGCATCAAGCAGTTAGCGAAAGATTTTCTAAAAGCGGTCACTGTAAGTGGTCACTGTTTTTTTCACTGCTTTCCGCACAGAACGAAGTCAACGAGCTTTAACCAGTAAATTCTTCATTATTTGTAGCTGTTAAATAAAGGTACGGCAGCTCCAGCTGGCAGTATTTCATCACAAAAACAACACATTTAAATTTTTTTAAGGAATCGAGGCCCCATCTGAACATGGACATACTTAAAAATTTTCCTTCCCCTAAAATTGATTTCAAAAGAGACATTATTCGCACCAAAAGTTGATTCCTGTATGGTAAATGCTGATTGGCTAATAAAATGACACATCAAGCAGACGTTAGATTATCTAAACTAGTAATAGTTGTCACTACAGCTGCCCCCGCTCTGTTTATTCTCGCTCAATAGCATTCTTGCTCGTTGTGTAGCTCTTTGAAATATACCAATTCATAAGGAAGATTTTCACACATATTCCATACAATAGGTGAGATAAATACAGAAAACGCAAGGTTCCATGCACAGTTTCAGGTCAATTTACACAGCTTTGATCAAAACATTCTCAGTTTCGAGAATAGCTTATTATAAACCATAAGAAAAGATTTAATTAGAAGTTGAATTTTTCACTATTTCTCTTTCACGTTTTACATTCAGTTCATTTTATTTGCCGGAAGGAAGCCTTAGAAATTAAATGACCTTTGATCAATTCCCACTCGCGCATTCTAGTCTATTTTAAACTTTATAGCAAAGAGAGATCATTCTGTGAGCAGGGAATAAGTCAGCACAGAATTTGATTGTCGGCAAATTTCTGTAATCATCCATTGTTCTGATAGGGAGAAGCTAGCCGTTGTTCACTCGTCTTGCTTGTTTGGGGCTGAGTCTTATTCTGGTCAAAGAGAGAGAAAGAATGTCTGACAGGTTTCCAACGAAAGATTTGTGAACTCCTGTCTGGCAAACTCTCCAAGTGTTTATATATACCCAGTTATACGCATCTTATAACTTCTTCTGTGCTTAATGAGTGTCGTTAATATTTTGGTCCTTAACTTTCACTGAAACAACTGCTCCACAGAATGTCACTGATAACACGTAACGAAGTATGACTGCACAATAAATGTCACAAAATCTAGCTAAGCAGTCCCTTCAGGATGTTCTCTCTTTACGTCATCCTAACCATTTTGTACTTGTGGGTGCAAACAATAGAAACCTCATCACTACCTACCGATTCCTTGCGGCCCCTGTTCAAGCAAATCGAGATTTTTTCTATATTGACTGTATGACTGTATATTTCAACTGTAAGTACTTTCCTTAATATAAGCGCTAGTTACTAGAGTGCCTCCTCAGGATTTCGCCTTCTCGGCAAAATCCCTGCAGGGGCAATTAGGGGGCGGTTGATGGCTTGTTAAATGAATGTGTCAGGCGTTATTTTTTTCCCTCTCGAGCCAAAGAAGCAAAGAAGCACAAAAAAAATAACGCCTGATCTCAGGTTAGGTCAAATGTTACATTGCCAACAACATATTAATTGTTTTTCATCGCAATTTCATGATGATTGGAGTCATTTATCCTCCTTGCATGTAGCCGTTGGAAAATTTAAATTCTTACATTAATAAAAGAATCTTAGTTCCTACCACATTTCTACGATCTCAGAAGAGCCTTACCTTTAATTTAACCTCCAAGCCGACAGACTTATTGTGCTGCTTTGCGTCAAAGCTTGTTTCCTGTTGTTGAAGTAGCACATTTCTTTTCACCCGAAGGAGCTAAACGACGACGAATAAGCCACGAGATGGTTAACCGTTTCAGCCACGGTGTTGAAGTTCAGTACAAACGGTGATCCGAAAATCACTGTAAAGTTCAAAACAAGAACATTTTAGGCGCCATCTTGGTTGCTTTTAGGTCCCAGGTCTCACTCGTGTAAAGAGATTTAGAAATTATACCACGTGACCAACCTGTGTCCATATGAGAGTTAACCTATTTTACGATCTCTTGTACCCTGCGAGCAGAGGCCCTTCGATCTTCCTAGATAGGAAGATCGAAGGGCCTCTGCTCGCAGGGTAGATCTCTTGCAAATACAGATTTATTTCGAAAAATGAAAAACAAACACTGTGCGCTGTTTTAAAACTGCTCAGGGCTAATCGATGAAAAGCCGATGATTCCGTTTTTAGTCTTATTTTTACCAAATACATATACCTGGTTTTTTGAAAACCGGGCTACCAAAAAATGTCAGTCTCTCGCACTAATTGTTAATTTGATGGCCCTTGTTAGTTGAAAAGTAAAATCTCACCTTAAAAAGAAATTATTGAATACTCAATACATGAGCTTCCATTTGATAGAATCGTCTGTCTTGAAGGTAACAAAAGTGAAGTTTTCCTCATTAATCTGGAAAATAAGGCATTTTAAGAAGCAATTTTTAGTGTCGGTATCACCGATTGCAAAGCCAATTCCCCAGTTTAATTGAAGCTGGTCTCCCAAAAACAATCTAAGCCAACACTGCTCAACAAAACCAAGTCCTAAAACCAGCAGTTCAATTGCTTGCTGACTAGGAACATTATCAACAGAGTGGGTCATTGCTTTCATGCAAACAGCACAAACAAACTGCATAAGAGTGCAAAAACACATCAAACTTTACAACAACCCCACTCCCCTGGAATTTAACCAGACTACAAGTACAAAAACTCAGCAAATCTGCACTCTAGCACAAAGCATAGTCTTTACAACAACCCCACCCCCCTGGAATTTAACCAGGCTACCCCAAATGCATACCAGATGATAGCCCTGTGTCTGTGCAACANCAACCCCCCCCCCCGGAATTTTACCCGGGCGCCCCCAAATCCATACCGGATAAAACCCCGGTGTCTGGCAAACAACATGCCCCCCAGCCAGAAAAAACCCCCCCCCCCTCTTAATTTGAGGTCGTGCAAATTTTCTGGAATTTGCACTGATTTCTGTCAATCCAGGAAGTTAGTCCTGAAGAGCGAGATTGTTATTGTTACACTAAAAGTATCAGGGCTTTAAGCAAATTAAGTTTTGAAAGATTGCCTTCAATGTGCTGGACTTGACTTAAGATTTCAGGCAACCCGGTTTTCAAAACTCCAGGTAGACATATAAAGAAAAAATTTGAATTTTTTTCTAACCAAAATCATCGGTTTACCCGTTTAAAAAAATCTGTGTTCTCTAGAAAAGTTTCTTTTATATTTAACATATCATTAAACACTATTTCTGGTCTTAGTTTAACTAAAATAGAAAAAAAAGAAAAATATCGAGGTTTTTTTTACCAAAATCGTGGGTTAACCTTATTATAAAAGTACCATTTTTGGGACCTTGAAAAACTGACATTTTTATAGTCAAGAAGGGCTTCTTTGCTATTGATGGTTTTCACCTTTCACATCTTCAACAGCACCTCTTCTGTGACTATTTCGCGTTCGTCAAGGGTTCTCTGAAATACGGAAACTCTCTGTAGCATCTCCGCTGAAACTGCGTTCATATGCTTTGACGTACGGCAGTGATCTTCAAACTCTTCTGGGTGAAATCGTTTACAGGGCTCCTTGTTAAAAACTTCGACTTGTTTTGAGGATTAGACGTGTCATGTTTTTTGCACAACAAGCAGAACAGACCCTCGCCCATCTCAGTTTGAACACAAAATGACATCGATCTTTTGTTTAGCCAATTATGTTGAAATTTGTCTCTTTTAGGGGTCAATAAAAGGCTGGCCCACGCCCAGGTTGGTCTCCTTAACAGATTTAATTCAAAATTTCCGACGAGCATCCCCGACCCTTTCATATGGGAGTCCCCCCCGGTTTAAAAATATACATATTGCGTGACAGCGTGACACGTCACAAAAAATAGCAAAAACCCTGTCAGGGGAGGCAGCTCTGGTGGCCATTTTTCCCGTTTAACCTCTGGGAGAGAGTTAACCGTTTAACCTCCGGCGCGAGGGTTCCCATTTAACCTCTGGGACCGAGTTAATGTCCGAGCACCTCCCTGCACTTGCTGGGCCGGAGATTGGGGTCCGTCAGCAAGCTTGACAGTCCCCCCCCGGTAAGTCAATCGTCTCCGCTGCACGGGTTAGTCAAGGTCCAAAGTCTCTCAACCGGTAGAGAGTGGTGGGATATTGGGGTGGTCGTGTTAGTTGGATTGAAACGGAATCTTTTAACTGGATATATAAACCTAGCTTTTGAGTAAAGCGAGACTTATGGTTTAAAACACTCATGGTACGGTTCTTCACAGACGCATGCGTGTTAGGCCAAAAAAATGGTTTGGAAATTTCGTTGATTCATACACAACATCCACATTCACTCAGGCCCGTTCAGTTCAGCTATTAAAAATATGGCTATCATTTGTAAAAGTTGTTATTCCTCAAAATCTCGCCCAGCTTTCCACATACTCTTGTTACAAAAACGCGCCTTAGAGAAGTGCTGAGCATTTTATAAGATTAAATTTGCTATGAACTGTACATGCCACTGGAGACTTCGTAGCATACATTTTCCGCAATTCTACGACTCAAAAAATATCTTGAAGGAACCATGAACATGAAGCAAGATCGACGTCTGAACAACGGCCTACTTATGCGCGTCAAGAATTTTATAATGAACGATCCCGACACTGTTATGGTTACAAGCAAGCAAACAGCCTTTTGTCCCACACACTATGCAAACGACATTCTGGGAAATTTGAGTAGAGAAATACGCTTGACTTTTTGTACGATGAGCCCCCCACCTCCCCCGCCGGCCCCTTACGTTTGCAAAAGGCTCCGATGCCTCTAAACTGGGTCCTAAAAATCATTTGTATTCGTAAAGGAAAAACGTAAAAAGGTTTGGTGATTCAGTCGAGGACTGCCGATTCTGTGCGGCAGGACCCTGGTGTCCTCTTCTCAGGAGCACTCGGTTAATGCTTTTTGCCAATGCAATTTAATAGCCAATGATTTCTCGTTGTAAAAGTATACCTAGTTATCGAGAAGACCATGAAATAAATGGAGTTGTGTAAACCCGTCTAGTCAGACCATTTTGTTGTGAAGTTCAATTAATTAGAGTTTTATAATTATTTTTTCGCAGTTATATTCCCTGTTTCCTCGACATTAATAGGAGGCTTGTTTCTTCACTAGCTATTGTTCAATAGCAGCCAAAAAGGCGGGAAAACAATTATTAGTGATTTCTTTCCAGCATATATTCAGTAAAGATAGGAAGGAAAGCCATTCTATTTCAGTTTTAATTATTTTTGATGAAGAGGACACGATAAGGGAGTTTAAGGTCCAACGACCGCACAGCAAGGAAAACATCGCTCAAAAAGTGAATTTGCGTTCTTTCAGTCTTTAAGCGATTAGTCCTACCCACTTACTTTGTCAAATGTAGGCGAATCCTCCCAAAGCTGAATTTCAAGGGACCATCTCCAGGCTCAGAAAGGGAAACAAAATTTCGTCGTTGCTTGTTTACGTCCTCCATAAAACGGGAAATTAGGCATTTTCACCGCGTAGTCGTGCAAAAACGGGAAAAAATGTACAACAAGGTGTGGGGCACGTGCAAAGTTGTTGTTTTGCTTAATAAAACCTATTGTTCTTGCAGACATTCTGGTTTCCGTGGCGTTGTTGAATCTTAAAATCAATAGAACACGCTGGTTGTAAAACACAAGATTAGGTTATAATTTTCCAAATTTGACTTACGTTTTTTTTACAGTAATATTGCCTGCAACTGCTGAAAAGAAGTTCACAGAGCATCAAGTTTACACGTATTTTTCGTTCCTTTTCCGTAAGTCAGAAAATAGTGGACATTGTTTAATAACGTGCAAAAGAATACCGGTAAAATGTACCACAAACGTTTAGTTGTACATTCTTTAGAGCGGTGATTTGATAAATGTAAATTTTCCTTTTAAGAATCTCTACAGAAACAAACAAATATTCGCAAATAAACGACTCTGTATATGTACAGAGTGAAACTTCGTCATTAATTAATTGCGAGGCTTTTATTCACTCACACTAGATACGAAGCAAAATTTTGCAATTAGTTAATCGCGAAGTTTTACTCTAAATACATATTTATTACACTAATACAAATCTCGCACTTAACTATTTTCCTTAACTGCGAAATTTCTGTCTGTTTATAGTAAAAGACTCAAATCTCGCCCTTAAGCAGTGTTTCCTTAACAACAACAACAACAACAACAACAACAACAACAACAACAAGAAGTTTATTTCAAATTAAATTTAGCTTACAAAGCATGTGCCCGCAATTAGCGAAGGCTATTCGAGGCGGGTACAAGAGAAAATGAAAATTCTGTAAATATATATATATATTAAACGAAAAATCCTAGAAGCAATCTAGTTTGTTGTGTGGTTTATAGCCATAGTTGAGAAAGGAAGGCAGACTGTACTTCATACAGAAGTACACCATGTTACAATTTTGAGAATTGTCCTGTAATATCAGAAACGCTAATATAGTCGTCCTCTTTTTCCAGTATTTCAAAGAGTTTTCTCTTTAGTTCACTTTTGAATTGATTTTTTAAGGTGTTTTGAGAAAGTGGAATACTGTTCCAAATCAAGGCACCGGAAATAGAGAAGGCTCACTTCATGTTTTCAGTTCTAACTTGTTCAACATATTAATTTTCATTAGTAACAGATCTAGTCCGGTAAATGTGGACAGAAGACAGTTTCGTGAACATATTCTTAAAGTTATCAGAAGCGGGATTATTATGGATGTCGTACATTAAAAGACTCATTTGCTCAAATAGCAAGAACGATATCGGAAACTGTTTTGTTTCTAAGAACAACGGAACTGCATGAGTTCTTGATTCAGCGAAGACCATTAGCCTAAGGGCTCTCTTCTGGAGAACCAGTAGTTTATGAAGATGCGTTTCAGTAGCATGACCCCAAGCACAGGCACCAGAACTGATATAAGGCAAAATTAAAGAGCGGTATAAAGTGAGAAGTACATGACGGGGAACAAAATGTCTGAGCTCGGCGATAATTCCGATTGTTTTTAATACTGACTTTTTGCCAAACGTAATCTACATGAAATTTCCATGAAAGGTTCGAATCAATGAGTATACCAAGATATCTAATATAATTTTTCATTCCTAACGGTTGAGTGGTATTTGAATTATTACTAATTATTTTTAAAGTAGGATGAAAAGGAATAGTCTTAGTCTTAATAGATATAGTTAGTTTTTTCGATATTCAAGGTTAATTTACTGACAATTAGCCACGAGCACACGCGTTAGGCTAGTTATTTTGTTTCGGTATAATTTATAATTTTCCCAATCAGTGTTAAAAAAGGTTATTTTTATTCGTATTGAAGTTCTCATTGGTAATCCATGGTTTTGACAATATTTTCCCCCTGCGCTTGGAGAGAGTTTTCATTGGGGTATGCTTGTTTACCAAGCAGTTTATTTTTTTGTAAAAAAGTTGTGAAAAACTTGTTTGCGTCATTGTCAGAAAGATTACTCCATTCTATTTCTTGCAGTTCAGAGAGAAACCTGTTAGCATTGAAATTGGAGTAGTCACCCATTTGTTTGAGTAGTTCAATAGTTCAAAAGTAACGCAGGACATAAGCTTAATTTGCATTTGTAAACAAAAAACTTTTTCACCGGTTTTATCGATAAATTCGAGTTAAAAAGACAAAGCTTTACCTGTTTAAACTTCCAAACCGAACTTCGTCACCTTCTTCGTGTATTTCGGAAACAGCTTGCTTGATTAGTTGTGAAATTTCTTTGTTTGTTACGGCAGCAAACCAGGAAGGCATTTTGCTCGCAACTTACGTGAGTTTGGCGTCGCTCGCTCGGAGGAACTGGAGGTGAATCAGTGAATAGTACAGGATATTCACTGATTGAGTAGCCAATCAGAGCGCGCGAAAAACACTATCCACTGTTTTAGTATATACTAAATCTAATTAGCAAAAAAACAACTTTGCACGTGCAGCACACTTTTTTGTACATTACCTTGCAGTTGTTTTGCACGACTAAAACGAGAAACTTCTTTTAACCTCCTGTTTACCTTTTTTTTGGAGGAAATGTTTGTGTTCCTGTTCACGCTGTTTTTTCACTGCCGCTCATTTTCATCTTGGTAATCACTAGTATTTCTCATTTTTTAACCGCCGCTATATAATTTTCATGTTCTTCTTCCAACCAAACTGGTCTCAACTGTTATTTATTTCTCGCTCTAGATCTCTCCCTGTTATCTAAGTTAATGTAGACATTAAAATTTAGTGGAAAGAAAGACTCGTTTTTTCTTCTCTCTAAAAGTCCGGACGGTCATGTGATTTACCTCCGAAACGAACGAGGTGCTTGAAATGCAAAATTTCACCTCAGCTATGACACACTCCTCCCCCGACGGGTTGACTTCTGACTCCCTTTCCCCCTCCCCCAGCGTCTGTACGGACGGGAGATCGTACGCTGACGTCATAACCAAATTTTCTTGGATAGATAGACGTGCTTCGCGCGCGTAGAGCTCCGCTATTATTATAATGATTATCATCATCATCATTATTAAAAACTTATTATAGATTCGAAAGTTTCCTATATTTAGATGAGATAGAGTATACTGTGTTCACAAGTCTACTCCAGCTCGCAAGTTGCTAGGTAAGCACTTAAACTCATTCCAGCACGTAGTAACCCTAAGGGGGGAGGTGGTGGTTGTCACCCCCGATGGGGTTGAGTTTTTTCCTACACGATAAAACATCAGCATCTGACGTTTTCAGTACCTGCTCGTTTTATATCCTTGTTCGCATTTTGAGACAAGTTTAGTGATGGTCAGTGTCTATGGTTACTAGATATGACCAGGAAGCTCCTGATATGACTTCATAAGTAGAAGGTGGTCAAGCCATTTTGAGAAAAATGCATGTGTTTTTCAACTTCTTTCAACAATTAATGTAAACCTTGTGCGTAAAATGGTGCAATGAATATATTTATGTGTTATTTTTCATGTCAAGCACAAAACATACCATTTTCGCGGTTTATACCTGATTTCTAAGTCTTCGCACAATCTAAGATGGCGGCCAAGATGGTGACAATTGTTGGTGACGTCACAGGCCTCCAGCAGCGCCACCACCCATAAAATATACCTCACCTTGTTGAGAAGATCAAAGGATTTCCACTGAATGCAAAATCATTTGGAAATACTGCAACATATCAAAAACTTTAGGGAAAGGTTCCATCAACGCCCCCCCCCCACCCCATGTACCACGATGGAGGTATGAATTTGCATGTACTTCCGAGGGTTAAGTTTATCCAGATCGACCTCTGAATCGTTTTTACCTGCTGAGAATACCCCAATCCTTTCTAAACTCGTATTCGTTCCTTGTGAATTTAACTGGCCTGTGATCTCTACACATATCAGCTGACCTCCGGTTTCTGTATTCTGAAATGATCATTTTTTTTTAGATTAAAGACACTTCTGCCTTAAAACAATGAGCACAACAACCATAATAGAGACCTTTAGGTTACAAGATGAGATTGGTGAAGGAGGTTAAGCCGTCTCCCGATCACAAAATGATAAAACTTCTAACATTTGATCACTTGTTTCCTAAAAAAAACGACATTCTTTAGTAATACTCGTTGCGGGAATGACGACAGTTGTCACTTTTTCCCGTTAAACTGACTGGTTCATGCGCGCACTACTTAATTATTAAATATTGAGAAGATCTCGTTTTCGTAGTCGTCCTCGTCACTTACGAAAGAGGGACGGGCCATACCGTCAGCCATCAAGCAGTTTCAAAGAAAACCAATCGCGGACCATTTTAACATCATGGATGCTGGGCGTAGACGAAGCAAGAAATGCAATCGCCAAAGGCGCGGGCCGCTAGGAGCAGAAGGTTCTGAGGGGCTAAAGCCAAAAAAGGCACTCGACAGTTTTATACGGGCAGGTTCCTCCCCAAGTCTCACCCCTTTACTTTTTTTGTACACCACAAAAGGTACCGCCGAAATGACAGATTTTCCCAGGGGCGAATCTAGGGGTAGAGTGCAGGGGGTGCGCACCGCCCCCCTCCTCTGTGGTGACCTGCGGCTTTCTAATGCAAATGGTATTTGCGAAAACGGACCGTTGGATTTTAGTTGGCTTGGACTCTAATCATCATGCCTTATTGGACGAGGATAGAGACCAGACAAAGTGTAGTCTGTTGCAGGCGTTCAGATAGTTGCATGAGAGTGGCGCGAAATGAAAAGTGGAGGGGGGAGAGGGTATACCCCTCGCTGTTTTTCCTGCTCTCTTTTCTTTCCGTTATCCTCACAATATGAACGCCTGGACCACGCTAGACAAAGAGAAACCACTGTTCCTGTAAGTTGAGGGTTTACCGCGCAGGGGGCCAACTGTCCATTGCTGTAACACGATCGATGTTGGTTTCTGAAACGCGAGCAAGAAGTTAAAGTTTTCCAGGGGCTTATAACCCGGAGCGAGCAACTTCCATACCAGGCCTATGTCACGGCAGTTTCACGGACCAGGTTATTTTTAGACACACTTATTGGCACTTTCTCCCGCGAAAATAATCTCCACCATGTCTATGATCGCATTCGATATCAAAAAAGGAAAACTAAACGTTATTAAAACGCAAAAAATATCATTTTTAGGTCTGTAGGTTAAGACGCCTGGTTTGTGGCATTTAACAAATATTCAAAATTCGCGCCAAAACCGTTCTAAATATAAACTGGTCCATGTAAAAACGCCGCGACACGAGGGCATGGAAGTTGCTTGCTGCCGCTTATGGGCTCCTGACTTTTCCTCGCTCCCTATACGCGGCGGCTTGCCGAAAAGACTTTTGACGACAATGATGTCTCGCACACGACCTTCCACTGACTCCCCCGATTTTGTTCGGTGCAGGATACCTACTTTCTCAAGTGAACTGAAAAAAAAAGACAGAAAAATATGCTGGCCTAGCTAAGTACCCATATTTGAAGAAGGAGAAAATACGATGACATAAAACACTTATGCAATGTCAAATCGTTCGAAAGTCTTTCCAAAGGGTAGTTTGGCTTTGTGCCTGGATGATGTAGCAGGTATGGATCTACCACCAAATGCTGTAAATTTGTTTGCTTACAAGCTTTATCTCCCTTCTATTAATACTAGGGAGGCGGTATATGTGTATCTTACATATCTATGCGTAGGAAGGGAAACACAAAAAGTGGAACAGGATTAGCTCATTCGGTAGAGCGTTTGACTGCTGCGCGGGAAGTCGCGGGTTCGATTCCTGGGGCCGGATCAATACTCAGGGTCTTCAAATAACTGAGAAATGAAGGTACTCCCCTTGCCCTGCAAATGGCTAGACCTTCGCGTAGCTCGGATGACCACATAAGATGGCGGTCCCGTCTCCAGTAGGATACGTAAAAACAGTGTCCCCAATTAGTTCCTTCTTAAAATACATTGACACTCAAATAAAGTGCTTTTCTTTTTTCAAACTTGGATTAGCACTAATCGGCCTTTCAATCTCTAACTCAATAATACGGTCACCTTTATGACCAAAACGGAACTTAAGCAAAGACGTTTTTGAGGAACGCACGTCAACCAGAAGTGAGGCCTCCTACCTAAACACTACCACAGTTGTACTGCCAAGTGTTCTTTCTCTTGGGTAAAACTACTGCCCAAAGATGCAAAAAGCCCTCTTCGGATTGACGTGCGTCGCTCACAAACGTCTTTGCTAAGTTCTCCAAATTAACAAAATACGCGGTCGTCCGATTTGCTCACTCACGAGTATGATTACAGACCGAATTGGACGACACGAAGTATTGTTACCAATTAATCATAACTATTCCAAAATTTGTGATATTTTAACTTTTTTAGATTAAAACAATAAAGTACGAGGTTTTTTCACCAGCAGTGAAAAGAAAGCATATTAAGCACAGTCCCTTCTCTTCAGCTCCAACTTAAACTATCTTTTTTTAAGTAACTGGGCCACTTAGGATGCGAAGTCTATTTTTCAACCACCTTTTCATGGACGTCGGACGTCGCCCTTGTCGGATCGTAAGGCCCCTATACACTATAAAGCTTCCCCGTAATAGAGAGGTATCCATTTTATAAAAGTATATTTCACGAGGAGAGTTTCCAGTTAAGTCCTTGAAAGTCTCGATTACTACTATGAGGAAAACCCAGGAAAATCATTGACACAATAAAAGACAGATTTATCCAGCGAATAGAGTCCTCTATCCTGTAAACGTTTTTGTGTCTTGATTCCTTAGACCTCTCGCTTTGATACATTACAAAAAGGAGGGAACATCACAAGATAGCTTCCCAGCCATTCGAGTATATGACAACATTCTTCCACCTGTACGAGCAGTGAAAAAAAAAAATACAAAGGGGTTTAACAGTATACCACTACCTTAGAACAAGGACGTCAAATTATCGTATGCCCTTGCATTCTGCGTAATGTTACAAGCTGGTTTTAACAAATCGTACTCTCATCGACCATCGCTAAAATGACGTCAAAATGTTCAAAATTCAAGTGGAACCACGAGCCACAGTCGAGTGGTATCATCGAAAAGTTTTGAGCATTTTGACGCCAATTCTATTGGCGATAAGAGTACAAGCTGTAGAAAACTGTCGTCGATTTGTTTTGTACAATAACATTGACAGATTTTGACGTCCGTTGCCGTTGAAGTTTATTGGAAAATCGTGCGCGAGGGAAAAAGAAATAAATATTGCCTCATCATGACGTCATGTCCATGATCTGCTGTTCGACAATAGCACTCAGTTATTCAGCGCGCAAGAATCCCCTCAGTTAAAAATATCTTTTGACATTGTGCATAAAATATGCCTTGCATTTATTCAGCCCTACACGTCAACAAATAGACCAAACACGCCCGTTTCTACGTCAGTAGAAAAAGTTCCAAAACGACGGACCTTTTCGTAACCAAAAAGAATCAAAATAACCCGTTAACGAGCAAGCAATAGGTTTTTGGATAGTAAAACCTTAATAATTTGCCGACAAAAAAAGCACTAAGTAAACCCAAAAAACAAGTACCATTACGATGTAAAAAAACATTGCTACAAAGGTCTCTTATGAATGACAAGGCCGAACAATTTTGTCCACAGACTCAAACGTAACAGCCACATACTAGAATAAATAAAACATAAAAATACTTCCAAAGACCTTTCATTTGAATGGTCATCCCATAGCTAGCAGGAACCACATATCCCTAGAGTTATGTGTTCCCCTACCTGGGAAACACATATCCCTAGTGTTATGTGTTCCCCTACCTGGGAAACAAACATTTCTAGTGTTATGTGTTCCCCTACCTGGGAAACACATATCCCTAGTGTTATGTGTTCCCCTAACTGAGAAACACACATCCCTAGTGTTATGTGTTCCCCTACCAGGGAAACACATATCCCTAGTGTTATGTGTTCCCCTACCTGGGAAACACATATCCCTAGTGTTATGTGTTCCCCTACCAAAAAAACACATACCCCTAGGGTAATGTGTTCCGCTACCTAGGAAACACATATCCCTAGTGTTATGTCTTCCTCTACCTGGGAAACACATATCCCTAGTGTTATGTGTTCCCCTACCTGGGAAACACATATCCCTAGTGTTATGTGTTCCCCTACCTGGGAAACACATATCCCTAGTGTTACGTGTTCCCCTACCTGGGAAACACATATCCGTAGTGTTATGTGTTCCCCTACCTGGAAAACACATATCCCTAGTGCTATGTGTTCCCCTACCCAGGAAACACACATCCCTAGATAGTGTTATGTGTTCCCCTACCCAGGAAACACAGATCCCTAGTGTTATGTGTTCCCCTATCTGGGAAACACATATCCCTAGTGTTATGTGTTCCCCTACCTAGGAAAAACATATCCCTAGTGTTATGTGTTCCCCTACCTGGGAAAAACACATCCCTAGTGTTATGTGTTCCCCTACCTGGAAAACACACATCCCTAGTGTTATGTGTTCCCCTACCTGGGAAACACACATCCCTAGTGTTATGTGTTCCCCTACCTGGAAAACACATATCCCTAGTGTTATGTGTTCCCTACCCAGGAAACAGACATCCCTAGTGTTATGTGTTCCCCTACCTGGGAAACACATATCTTTAGTGTTATGTGTTTCTCTACCCGGGGAGCACATATCCATAGTGTTATGCGTTCCCCTACCCAAGAAACACATACCCGTAGGGTTATGTCTTCCACTACCTGGGAAACACATATCCCTAGTGTTATGTGTTGCCCTACCTGGGAAAAACACATCCCTAGTGCTATGTGTTCCCCTACCCAGGAAACACATATCCCTAGTGTTATGTGTTCCCCTATCTAGGAAACACACATCCCTAGTGTTATGTGTTCCTCTACCTGGGAAACACACATCCCTAGTGTTATGTGTTCCGCTACCCAGGAAACAAATATCCCTAGTGTTATGTGTTCCCCTACCCAGAAAACACATATCCCTAGTGTTATGTGTTGCCCTACCTCGGAAACACACATCCCTAGTGTTATGTGTTCCCCTACCTGGCAAACACATATCTTTAGTGTTATGTGTTCCTCTACCCAGGGAGCACATATCCCTAGTGTTATTTGTTCCCCTACCTCGGAAACATATCCCTAGTGTTATTTGTTCCCCTACCTGGGAAACACACATCCCTAGTGTTATGTGTTCCCCTACCTGGGAAACACATATCTTTAGTGTTATGTGTTTCTCTACCCGGGGAGCACATATCCATAGTGTTATGCGTTCCCCTACCCAAGAAACACATACCCGTAGGGTTATGTCTTCCACTACCTGGGAAACACATATCCCTAGTGTTATGTGTTGCCCTACCTGGGAAAAACACATCCCTAGTGCTATGTGTTCCCCTACCCAGGAAACACATATCCCTAGTGTTATGTGTTCCCCTATCTAGGAAACACACATCCCTAGTGTTATGTGTTCCTCTACCTGGGAAACACACATCCCTAGTGTTATGTGTTCCGCTACCCAGGAAACAAATATCCCTAGTGTTATGTGTTCCCCTACCCAGAAAACACATATCCCTAGTGTTATGTGTTGCCCTACCTCGGAAACACACATCCCTAGTGTTATGTGTTCCCCTACCTGGCAAACACATATCTTTAGTGTTATGTGTTCCTCTACCCAGGGAGCACATATCCCTAGTGTTATTTGTTCCCCTACCTCGGAAACATATCCCTAGTGTTATTTGTTCCCCTACCTGGGAAACACACATCCCTAGTGTTATGTGTTCCCCTACCTGGGAAACACATATCTTTAGTGTTATGTGTTTCTCTACCCGGGGAGCACATATCCATAGTGTTATGCGTTCCCCTACCCAAGAAACACATACCCGTAGGGTTATGTCTTCCACTACCTGGGAAACACATATCCCTAGTGTTATGTGTTGCCCTACCTGGGAAAAACACATCCCTAGTGCTATGTGTTCCCCTACCCAGGAAACACATATCCCTAGTGTTATGTGTTCCCCTATCTAGGAAACACACATCCCTAGTGTTATGTGTTCCTCTACCTGGGAAACACACATCCCTAGTGTTATGTGTTCCGCTACCCAGGAAACAAATATCCCTAGTGTTATGTGTTCCCCTACCCAGAAAACACATATCCCTAGTGTTATGTGTTGCCCTACCTCGGAAACACACATCCCTAGTGTTATGTGTTCCCCTACCTGGCAAACACATATCTTTAGTGTTATGTGTTCCTCTACCCAGGGAGCACATATCCCTAGTGTTATTTGTTCCCCTACCTCGGAAACATATCCCTAGTGTTATTTGTTCCCCTACCTGGGAAACACATATCCCTAGTGTTATGTGTTCCCCTACCTGGGAAACACATATCTTTAGTGTTATGTGTTTCTCTACCCGGGGAGCACATATCCATAGTGTTATGCGTTCCCCTACCCAAGAAACACATACCGGTAGGGTTATGTCTTCCACTACCTGGGAAACACATATCCATAGTGTTATGTGTTCCTCTACCTGGGAAACACATATCCCTAGTGTTACGTGTTCCCCTACCCGGAAAACACACATCCCTAGTGTTATGTGTTCCCCTACCTGGGAAACACAGATCCCTAGTGTTATGTGTTCCCCTACCCAGGAAAGACATATCCCTAGTGTTATGTGTTCCCCTACCCAGGAAACACATATCCCTAGTGTTATGTGTTCCCCTACCTTGGAAACACACATACCTAGTGTTATGTGTTCCCCTACCTGGGAAACACATATCCCTAGTGTTATGTGTTCCCCTACCTGGGAAACACATATCCCTAGTGTTATGTGTTCCCCTACCTGGGAAACACATATCCCTAGTGTTATGTGTTCCCCTACCTGGGAAACACATATCCCTAGTGTTATGTGTTCCCCTACCTGGGAAACACATATCCCTAGTGTTATGTGTTCCCCTACCTGGGAAACACATATCCCTAGTGTTATGTGTTCCCCTACCTGGGAAACACATATCCCTAGTGTTATGTGTTCCCCTACCTGGGAAACACATATCCCTAGTGTTATGTGTTCCCCTACCCAGGAAACACATATCCCTAGTTTTATGTGTTGCCCTACCTCGGAAACACACATCCCTAGTGTTATGTGTTCCCCTACCTGGCAAACACATATCTTTAGTGTTATGTGTTCCTCTGCACAGGGAGAACATATCCCTAGTGTTATGCGTTCCCTTAGCCAGGAAACACATATCACTAGTGTTATGTGTTCCCCTACCCAGGAAAAACATACCCGTAGGGTTATGTCTTCCGCTACCTGGGAAACACATATCCCTAGTGTTATGTCTTCCCCTACCTGGGAAACACATATCCTTAGTGTTATGTGTTCCCCTACCTGGGAAACACATATCCCTAGTGTTATGTGTTCCCCTACCCAGGCAACACATAACACTAGTGTTATTTGTTCCCCTACCTTGGAAACATATCCCTAGTGTTATTTGTTCCCCTACCTGGGAAACACATATCCCTAGTGTTATGTGTTCCCCTACCTGGGAAACACATATCGCTAGTGTTATGTGTTCCCCTACCTGGGAAACAGATATCCCTAGTGTTATGCGTTCTGCTACCCAGGAAACACATATCCCTAGTGTTATGTGTTCCCCTACCCAGGAAACACATATCTGTAGTGTTATGTGTTCCCCTACCTGGGAAAGTTATATCCCTAGTGTTATGTGTTCCCCTACCTGGGAAACACATCTCCCTAGTGTTATGTGTTCCCCTACCTGGGAAACACAGATCCCTAGTGTTATGTGTTCCCCTACCCAGGAAACACATATTGCTAGTGTTATGAGTTCGCCTACCTGGGAAACACATATCCCTAGTGTTATGTGTTCCCCTACCCAGGAAAGAAATATCCCTAGTGTTATGTGTTCCCCTACCTGGGAAACACATATCCCTAGTGTTATGTGTTTCCCAGGTAGGCGTTCCCTAACGTGGGAAACACATATCCCTAGTGTGATGTCTTTTCCTCGTTAGTGTTAGCCAGGAGAGAGATATTCTTAGTGATATGTGATTAAGTTAAGTGATATGATATCCCAGAGATATTTGAGGACAAGCTGATAACAATATGATTAATATGATGAAAATCATAGAAATGCTATTCAACGTTGTGCACCGTGTAGAGTCCTCAAAAACATATAACAACGGAGTCTGGCAGGCTTCTAAACTATTCCTCTCTATGGACTACGTTTAGTCCAGACAAAGAAGTGCACCCCCCGGGCCCTCCAAGGGGATCGCGCGAGTCGAACATGATCATGACTTTACTTCCAAAGTGATCACAACGGGCAAGCGGTCTACACACGCCACTTCACACAAATCGTATAAATTTCATTAAAACGGCGACATAATAGTAAGCCCTAATACGGTTAAATCCTGTTTCGTTAAGATCAAATCAAACTTACCTCGAGCAAGCGTGCGGAAATCTTCTGGAAGCCAGTGGCAGTGCGATGCAAATCTTTATCTTCGTGTTAACTTTTCCGTTCACTTTTGCTAACGAATAAAGTAATCTTATTTCAACTTTTGTATTTGTTTTGTATTTGGAAATTAAATAAAACATGACTAACACTCTTTAAAACTCATGAAAAATGCTAAAAAAAATTCATTTTTCGAATTTTCCCGGGCACGTGGAGTAAAATGGCCCGCAATGCACATAAGCATTCGCAAAGGCTATTGGGAGTGCCAGTCATCTTTTCACCCCACCCTGACGGGCCGTTTTTTGTTTTAGTTATGATAAAATTGGTAAGAAAACTGCTTGAATTTCAGTTCGGTCTGTAATAATATTAGAAATTAAAAATATCAAAGCTTCATATAAGTACTTACTGCAGTACGGATGAGTTGTTGCTTTTTGGCTTAGAGCGATAATCGTGAAACTGATGAGGGAGGTCGGGAGGGGAAATTTGAAGTCAGATTTGCGTAATCACTAACACGAAGAATAATATTTTAACCTACAGAAATGGCGGCAGACATGTTAATGCTTGAAAACTTTATTAACGGACAGTTCGTTCCTTGCAAAAGCCATATCGACAGCTATGATCCATCAACGGGGAAAGTGTATTGCAAGGTCCCCGACAGCGATCAAGAAGAAGTGGATATGGCTGTCAAGGCCGCGCGTGATGCTTTTGAAAGGTAGAGCACAGAATCTTTTCTAGTTTTTTTCTGTTCTCGCGTAAGAGCGTCTTATGAAGGCAACTCAGTCTCAAAATGATTGAAAAAACTTGTGCACATTTTAATTTGATTGCTACAAATCTTACCAAATTAAGCTACGCTATTAGCTCCAGTTATCAGCTGTGTTTCATCTGTTTGTTCGATCCTTTGCTCCGAAAGCTCATCTCACGTACATTTCGAGGCTTCTACAATATTACATTAACAGTACAGCCTATGAAAAATGGGTTGTCATGGAAAAGAAAACGAGGTTTTAAATTATTTTGTTTCTTGTTCGTGTCAAGTACACACCCCCTTACCTCCCCCTTTGGGGCTCACTTCTGCAGTCCTTTTTATGATTAGCGCTAATATTACCACGACAACTCAGGTTTGGATGACGGGTTTAAAGAATCATATTGGGAACCCTCTTAAAAGTGTGAGTGCTCTCAGTTTCAGGCCACTATTGGCACCACTCTGACAGGGGCCTTTCTATTTAATAGCCACACCCCACCCCCATAAGGATGAGGTAAGCTGACTTTAACCCCCCAAGAAAAGAAAAAGATTAAATGCACCGTCACAGTCCCACCCCCTTAGAAATAAACAATTTTTTCTTAACCCCTTCAGAAAGATGGGAGTTTTTCTCATACCCCTAGGAAGTACTTAAAAGATCATAAGATGCCGACACAGCCACCCCCTAAGAAATAACTTTCAAGACCCTCTCAGAAAATCTGATCCATAGGGGGGTATGGATATTAAATGGAATGGCCCCCTGTACAACGTATTGTGAAAAAGTCAATTTTTGTCGGGTGTCTAAGTTATCTAGTAGATGTGGTTCTTGGTATTTTGTCGGTAAACTTTTTTTTTTGGGTGGGGAGGGGGGGGGAGTGTTAATATGGACAACGAAAATGGTGACAATTATTGTGGAGATAATATGTGACTGGTTTGAAATCATATCAGTTGATTTATACCAGTCTCATTTAATATGAAGCCCATCTTTCTCTTATCAGCTGGTCGAAAACCCCACCAGAGTTACGGGCAAAAATCATGAGGAAGATTGCTGACCTTATTGAATCAAAGTTAGATGAATTTGCAGAGGCTGAGTCCAGAGATCAAGGCAAACCAGTGTTACTTGCTAAAACAGTGGATATTCCACGTGCCTGCCTTAACTTAAGATTCTTTGCTTCAACAATAATAAATGCTTCATCAATGAACCAGTAAGTATGTACAAAGATAAGCATAGTACAGTGAAAAAAGGGCCAAAGTTTTCTTCCTGTACCCTTTTTGAGCTAACCTGTTGCAAAAGACTATGCTAAGTTAACATTTCCAACCAGAGTCCTGTGCCGATGTCTGCTTGAACGGTGTCACTGTAGTGCATAATTATGAGGACTCCATTGGACAGGGTTGACCTCGCCTGTTCCAGGGGCAAAGAAAAGTGAGCAGGAAAAGCATTTAGAGGGCTATTTTTTCCACTCTCTGCCTTTAATTCTACACTCCACTACTGCATGTCTGGAAAAGACTAGAAAAGTCCTAGTTTTACTGACTGTCTGCTTGGCTGGAGTAGCATTGCATGTGGTACTGAGAAGCCTACATGTAGACGCAGGGTGTGGCTACATGTAGGCTAGTGGTGACAACACCAATATGGGAGTGACAGACTCTGTTGCAAAAGTTCTGTTAAAACATTATGGTTCCTGATTTGTTAAAATATTATAGTGCTCCTTTTCACTTGCCTGCTTATTTATCACAGTGAGTTTAAAAACTACACTCACCGTCTGGTGACCATGAATACGCTTATCTTCATTACAACCCTGGAAAAGGAAACCAAGAGTCTCTCCATCATGGCGAGTCTCTGATTTTTTTACTATTTGCCATACCTTCAGATAAAAGAATATTACAAATTTTTCTTGCAGCTCCAATGTTTTAAACAAGGTGGGTGCTGTAAACTACTGTGTCAGGTGTCCAATAGGTGTGGCTGGTCTCATCTCCCCATGGAACCTGCCCTTGTACCTCTTAACATTTAAGATTGCCCCTGCTATTGCTGCTGGCAATACTGTTGTGTGTAAACCAAGTGAGATGACATCTGTTACTGCATGGATGATGGCTAAGCTAATGAATGAAGCAGGTGGGCATTTAATTGCTTCTGTATTCATTGGTGTTTTAAGGCCACCTTTATGGACCTCAACTTTGTCTTGTGTATAAAAAAAAAATAAATAAAAATAAACTTGTTCAGCACCCAGCCATCTTGACCTCATGTTTGGTTAATATAATACAGGGCTGTCAAAAAGATTTTAAGTAGCAGGCTAATAATGAATAGTAGGCGGCTTTGGAACTCACACCAAAGGCACAAGTTCTTGAGGGCCGATGCATCTAGGGACATTTTGAGATTAAGAGTCTCGGAAATGGTGTTTCCAGGGGTTTTCAAGTGGTATTTTCCACCGTGGACAGTATGTTGTTTCATCAGAATACACGCAAGACTGAGAACAATGCCATCAAAATTTCCCAGGCATTCCACGTCATAACATGCCTTTAACGTTTCAAAGATCTAAAACTTTTTAAATATGCGTTCCATGACATTCAAAACTGGGAAACATATGTGTTATAATTTTATCCAAAGGTGCTTATTTTTTGTTAGCAGTTATGGTAGAAGGAGATGAAAGTAGCCAGCTAAGGATGGCTGACTAGCCGGCAGTTTTGGCCGGCTACCAGCCCTTATTGACAGCCCTGATAATATATATCGCATATTTATTTATTGTGTGTTTGAAAACAGGACTCCCCCCTGGAGTATGTAACCTGGTGTTTGGAACAGGACCTAAGGCTGGAGCTGCAATTGTGAAGCACCCCGATATTCCAGTCATCTCATTCACTGGTTCCACAGCCACTGGTCAGACAATTACACAAATGAGTGCTCCATTCTACAAAAAGCTTTCATTGGAGGTAAGTACTGACAGAGTCATCTCTCTCTACGTAAGATAATTTACCGAGGGGGAAGGGGGGGGGGGGGGGGGAGGGACTCCCATAAAAAGAGACAAGGATGCTCCTTCAGTTTTGAATTAACACTCTAGATGAGACTAATTAGGACGGGGCTGAGGCTGCTTTGATCCCCTAAGAGATACTACTGACAATACTAAGAAGATTACCATTTCTACAGTAATTATTTCTTCACTTGCAACCCCATTATCAAGACTCAAAAGCTATCAGACGTCTTAAATCCAGAAATATTATTAATGCCTCAAAAGGGTTCTATGGGTTCCCCATCCCCCCCCCCACAGGTAAGAGGAGCACTTTTGACGCCAGCACTGAGGGTCTCTAAGAAAGGTCTATGAAATGCATGCAGGGGTCAACCCAGCCTGCCCAGCCTGGTGTTGATTTTAGGGAGGTAATGGTTAACCCTTTTACTCACAATGATGGGAAAAATCAAAATTCAACAACTTTGCCAGATTATATTTTCTAGAATGCTAAAAAACAAATAGCACCATGTGCGTGAAATGCCAAAGTTTTCACACCAAAGGGTTTTGTCTCAAAAGTTAGAGCCACCTTATAAGACACTGGCCAATCATTCATTCCCAAGATGGGAGTGGAAAGGTCAAGAGAGGGTTGACTTCACATTGTTAAGGTGGTATTAATTTAAAATATAATTGGTTATTTACCTTTCTTGTGTATAAAAATGGAAATAATAATAAAAACAATGCATAAAATATCCTAGATCATCATACTATGCACATATTGATTATTCAAATCCCTTTTCTTTATTTTACTTTGCATTCTAGCTTGGAGGGAAAAATGCTGCCATTGTTTTTGATGATGCGGACCTAGAAAAGTGTTTAGCAACAACTATCAGGTCTGATGGCTTATTGTGGTTTGAAAGCTAGCGTTAGATTTTTTTACCACACTGTATGTCTTGGTACTAAGTATTCAGCAATTATGTGTGCTCTTATTGCAGGTCCAGTTTTGCCAATCAAGGAGAAATTTGCCTTTGTACTAGCAGAGTTTTTGTTCAAAAAGGAATTTTTGACAAATTTTTGGAAAAATTTGTCGAGAAGACAAGGTAATCATGGGTGGATTTAGGGATGGGGCTGATGGTATTATGCTCGGATCCCCTTTTTCTGTGATATGTTCTATTATTTTGAAAGAAAAGTAGTTAAATAAAAAAGTATCTAGTGTCCCCACCACCCTTTTCTGGATTTTCTGGATCTGCCCCAAGTAATAAATTTAGCACTAGTTTGTTGAAAATAGTAGTAAACTTTTAAATATATACACAGAAAAAGTGTGTAGTGAACCACAGATCCTAGTATAATGAAACAGACCTTTTTAGCTTGTATGTTTTGTTTTCCCATTTCAGACCATGTGATGGTACCCCATAGAACTGTTCCTTTCAAATGTCATCCTGTGCACTTGCATCCACGCATATATCTGTGTATAATTTATGAAAAGACAAAAGCCAAATTCCCTGGAGAACATCACGTGGTCTGAATTGGGAAAACAAAACATACAACCGAAAAAGGTCGAATGAGTATAAGTGATTTAGAAAAAGACACAAAAACTACCGATAATAATAAAGTCATACCAGCTAGACCATTTCACCCAACAAAATGATCAAGCACTTAAGCTATAGAACTAAAAAAAATGAAATGTGTGTACACACTTGTTTAATATTGTGTAGAGTTTCCTTTGTTAAGCTCAAACTATACATCAAAGAATAATTCCTTACTACTAGTGAGTGCTTAAACTCCTTTTTCTTCAGACAGCTTCAAGTTGGCTCTCCAAAAGATCCAGGCACAAATCTTGGGGCACTGATAAGCAAAGATCACTTAGCTAAGGTATTTTTAATTTGCACATAAATGCAAACCTAATATTGTACATAATAATCTCAAGTAATCTGTCAAACTGTGACTGTCAGGTAAGCAGTCTAACGCAAGATCACAGATGATTCAATCATCCTGAGAAACATTTTTGCAGGTAATAATTAAAAATAGAATATAAATTTGTGTCATTCTTAATGTTCTTAATTTTCAAGCCTGTTGCAGGCATTCAGATAGTGAAAGGCAGCGTGAGGTTGGAGAGCGGGAAAAAAATAAGGAAGAGGAGAGGGGGAGAGGAGGGAACACTCTCACCCCCTACCCCACCCCATCACCGTTTTTTTCTGCACTGTCCCATCAATAATGACACCTGGAAGAGGCTGTTAGTTTTCTTAATAGTTCTAAAACTCAGTGGTGCACCATTTTAAGAGGGGTATCAGTTGAGTGTATTTTTTATACAGTTTCTGAGTATGCTTCATTTAGGACCATCTAGATCAACCACACTTAAAATTGCCTACGGTAATTCCTGCAAAATGCGTATAGTTTAAATAACCTTTTCAATCCCCTGAGGAAATTGTTGGACATAATTACTACTTCTTTGAACTGCTCCCCTCCTTGGTAGATTTTGAAGAGGAATTGCGGTGTATTGAATAAGTTTTGTTGTTATATTTTACAGGTGCTTGGATACGTAAAACTTGCAGTGAATGAAGGTGGGGAAATTGTTTGTGGCGAAGGAAAGGACCCGCCATTGAATCTCCCCAGCCCGCATACAGAGGTATAGTTCATTGAGTACTAGTAGATGGTTCACCAATATTTCTTCAAAAAATCATTCCTACAAAGGTTAAAATTGTCCGACAGTATCAGCAGAGCAGATACATTTAATTAGCTTGGTGTGATATTTAAGGATATGTTGTTGCTTCTGAATTGGACTGTTTATGTGCTATATTGCAGGGATACTTCATGCATCCCACAGTAATCACTGGTTTAGCTGATAGCACTCGCTGTATGCAGGAGGAAATATTTGGTCAGTGATTACTTTCATCAATGTCCCCCTTTGTAATTTTTTTTGGATAATTAATATGAAGGCCGACTTAATTATTCTTTACATCAATTTTTGTCCGTAGGACCTGTGGTTGCAATTGTACCATTTGAAACTGAAGAAGAGGTTTGTGCTTTATAATTGAAGAAATGAGTTGTTTCTGCTCCTATCTTTGATTGTTCTTCGATTTTTTTTTGGATTTTCCAATGTGTTTCCTTTCTTCTGCAGAACCATCATATACTGTTTCCGATTCAAATTAAGCCTGCGCACTACTGTAGTGTCAAATGAAAGAGGACAGGGCAGTGGGTGGAGAAGTGCCATGAGGAAAAGAGAGAAGGAACTTCCTATCCCCATTTCCCCGTCCTCCTTTTTACCCTTGTGTTTTTTGTTCCAGTTTGCTAATACTGCTACTTTTATCAAACTGATTGTTTCTTTCAATTTCATTTTTTTTTTATCCCTATAGCCCCTCTGGAAGGTAACCATCGCAATAAATAAACTACTGTTCTTTATTAAAATCCTTGAAATTATGTTGTAGGCAAATCAGAGCTAAGTGGTGCTCGAGTGACTAAAAGCCAGGGGGGAAAAAACAGCATATTTTTTACTTTCCTGCAAGGGACCACTTGGCCCGGGGGGGGGGGAGGTGTACTCCCCTATAAAAGCGACCAGGCCGCTGGTCGTACGTTTTACGGGTGTAAATTTATGGATTGGTACCACTTAGGGTGCTAAAACCTAAAATAACTACTGCCAGAGTTGTCTCAGTACCTTTTAGGGGGATTGGGAAAGGTTATCACCCATTAGGATAAAGATTTATGACACTAATTTCAAAAAGTCCTTGAGAGGAAAGTGTTCGAAAGTTATCTTTATTGCTTTTTAAATTTGCAGTGCCAGTTATATAATTTGTTGTTGTTGAATTGGTACCTCTTAGGGGTGGAAATGAATTTGGGACATGCCCATAAAACAGATTCTGGTACCTTTTAGGGGTGTTTTCGAAATTTTCTGACCAGCACCCTCGTCACTTTCATAGGGGAGTACCTACCCCGGCCCAACTGGTCACAGTCGTGTAAAAATTTAACCTCTCCTTTTCACTTTTTTCAGGTCATCAAGCGAGCTAACGGTGTGCAGTATGGATTATGTGCAGTAGTTTGGACAGAGAATGTCTCCAGAACACACCGTGTGTCACAGCAATTACAGGTATCGTTACGTAACTTGTGGTCCTATGACCCTCATTGTGTAGCCTGTTAGAAAGCTCTCCGGGGCTCTCTGGTGGTGGAGCGAAGCAGGATATCATTGTGAAGAGTGAAGACAGAACCCTGAACTTAAAGTCTCTCTCTTTGATTTAAATGGAGCGGTTGTTTCTACTAGAAAAGACTTGAAAAGAAAGGTACCTTCAGAGGTAGTCCACTTTTCCGGTTTTAGCCAAGATAACTGGCACTAATTGTTTCAATCTTTAAACTTCTCTACTCATAAACACGAAAAAAAGAAAAAGAAAAAAAAGCGCTTTATTTGAGTGTCAATGTATTTAGCACGAAAGTACTAATTGGGGACACTATTTTTACGTTACCTACAGGAAACGGGACCTCCATTTTACGTGGTCATACGAGCCACGCGAAGGTACAACCGCTTGCAGTAGAAAGGCAGTACCTTCATTTCTCAGTCGTTTTAAGACCCTGAGTAATGGTCCGGCCCCGGGAATCGAACCCGCGACCTCCCGCTCTGCAGTCGAGCGCTCTATCAACTGAGCTAATCCTGCCGCGGTTAAAAAATTCCCATCCCTCTTGTCTTGCAGACGCGTTTCTGTTTGACTTTCTCTGTTCATATTGCGGAATGGTTATCAGCAGGGGTGGGGCCTCTCAGATACAGAGCGGAGCAAGGACAGAAGAATTTAAAAATAACTAACATAAAATAAAGACGAGGTACTTACGTGGTTATTATTGGTGTAATTTCAGGCGGGAACAGTTTGGTGTAACTGTTGGCTGGTTCGTGACCTCAACATGCCGTTCGGGGGGTTCAAGGCGTCCGGAATTGGAAGAGAAGGAGCTACAGAGTCGTACGAGTTTTACACAGAAGCCAAAACAATCTGCATTAAAATGTAAATAGTAATATTACTAATAGAGTCCTTTTAAAGGGACAGGTTCACGGTTCAGCGCATGCCCATTTATCAAAATGCTGTTTTTCTGCCGGGACATGCCGTATCGTCTATGCATGCAATATGATTATGTCATAATGTTGTCAAAGAACCAATCTGCACACTCCCCTGGCAGTCACTTGCACTTGATCAACTTAAATATTTTCAAATAACTGTAAATTAATCAAGCCTGGACACCTTCGGGTCAACAATAAATTCAACGTTGGTAGTGTTGGCATATTCCACTAATTTTTTCTGCGATTTTAGTACTCCTCCTTCCTACTTCAGATCACTCTGAAATACACTTCTACTTTGAAATACACTCTGTGATCGCTGAGATACATGTGAGTGGGATTATTTTAATCAGTTAAAACTGATATAATTAATAATAAATTTAGAAAAAGTAATTTAATTAATGAGCATGCGCTTTACCATGAACCTGTGCCTTTAAAAAAGCGCGATAAAGACGTCACAAACGTCGAAAAAATAGGGAAGAAAATAACATGGAGCCGAAGAGTCGGTTCTTAACAGTGGCCTAAGGCGTATCTGATTTCTGACGGGAAAAGGAGATTTTGGGCATAACGTTCTAATTTAGAAAAAAAAGGAAAAGAAGAGAAAGAACTTGTTGAATAGAAGCACCCGCCCTAGCTTAAAAAACAGAAGAGATTCGTGCGTCAGTTTAGAAGGATGTCGAAGTCATACGTCATATAGTGGCCAAGGGTATCTGATTTCTGACGGGAAAAGGAGTTTTTGAGCATAACGTTCTAATTTAGAAAAAAAAGGAAAAGAAGAGAAAGAACTTGTTGAATAGAAGCACTCACCTTAGCATAAAAAACGGAAGAGATTCTTGAGTCATTTAGAAGGATGTCGAAGTCATACGTCATATAGGTATCCGGTCACTTCGTTCCATGGTCAGATCGTTCCACTTTATTGTCAGATCGTTCCTCAATATAGTCTGACCTTTTCACGACTCATTAAGCCACGAGCAGAAACAAGAGCGTTACTCATGAGTTTACCTCGTTGTTTAAGCCAAGAAGCCAAAAAAGCGCGCTTCACATCGAGTTTGAACCGAAACAGTGGAACGATCTGGCTATAAAATGGATCGATCTGGTTTGGAAGGATCTGACCGTGGAACAAGGTGAGCGTAAACCGATAATGCCAGTCATTTACACCTGTACACGGTCCACACATGTTTACTGTTTTGTCAAAACGGATGTATTTTTGTAGTGATTCTCAATAAAGACGTAAAACCATACCGAAGTGTCTCTTATATGACTTAATGCCAGAAAATGATTAATTAAACGTATTATTAAACGTATTAAAAGCCACAAAGGTACAAAGATAAAAAAAAAAAGAGTAATGCTGTTAATAGTTTTCTGGGCAAATTTTTTCTTTCATGAACGGACATACATCGGTTCGGCTAAGGGTTGATCTCCACTGTCGCGCAATTTTTCCGCGACAGTGGAAATCAACCCTAAGTAACCATTTTGGCGAAAAAAAATTGTGGTCAGCCTCAGCGAAAGGCGCATTATATTATGATTAACTTTGTCCGGACATCATGTCCGATCACAGTGAAGTGTCCGATGACTGACTCTGCACGGGTTATGTGCGTTATTGGCCAAGCATGAGGTCAAGATGGCGCAAACTAATATTGGCCAATATTGACTTCGTCTCGGTCAATAAAAACACAAAAACGAACGAGGCCAATATTCAGCTAGCTCGGTCAATAATGTAAAGTATTCATTCTGTGGCCATATAGAGAACTTTCACTTGTGGGACCAACACGGGAAATCCCGAAAGCGAAAGATGAGCCGCTCTGGTAGCCAATCAGAACTCAGGATTTGCTTCATCTTGCCCGCTTGCGGACTCGGCCAAATAATAAAACCAGATTAATTCAACTGATAAAACCGAAAGTTTCTTTTTCCCCTTTCGTCGTCTCCTCTATCAGTGGTGGTACTGGAATAGTTTAAGCCATCTTGGTTTTTTGCCGATTAAAAGTTGGACTTCCCTTTGAGTCGAGCTATGAAAATAGGAAGGAGCACCGGAAAAAGTATGAATAAAGCGCAATTTCAAGGGTCTTGCTCTAAATCTCGAGAAATTTGAGGAATTCTTCATGTGCGGACATAGCTCCAGGCGGGCGCAATGAATGAAAAGCAAAGAGCTTTCTAACAGCTGTCCCAAGTCTTAGTGTTTCTTGTAGTAAATTTGTAACAGTATTGGCCTGCTGACTTCGAGACACTTACACTTTTCTAACTTTCTAATAATAAACAAAAATAAAAAACAAACCCACCTGAACAGTGTTTCGGTTTGCCAGTAAACCTTCTAGTTCTGCTATTGAGCCGGCTACCGTGTTTTTGGTCCCAGCTGAGAATATGTATTTCTCCAAGAGACGACACCCTGGTTTGATTTCCGTTACAGGTACTGGTAGGCTCTGAAACAAAGACAAAATCACAATTAATTGCCTCAGTTTAAGCTTTCATACACCAGTTTTCACGGAATCACTTGATACAGGCGTGGATCTAGGATAAATACTGACGAATTTCCTAAACGAGCGTCGAAGGGGTATGCTTCTAGCGGGGTCCGGGGGCAAGCTCCCTCAAGAAATTTTTTGGATTTTAACTCCTTAAAGTTTCCTTTCCTATGGGTTTCCGAGTCATTCATACAGGATATTGGCCAGATTTCAACTTGGAAAGTGTTTTTGTTATTTAAAGTATATTTTTTTATGAATAATGTGACCGATTTCCGTGAAACGGTAGAAACTAGTGTGGATCCGCGCCTGTGAGAGGCCCCCGGCTTGATTGCCCTCAAAGCTTAAAGTAAGTTTTCTTCTTTTCTATAGTTTCAAACATAATCCCTGATCCCGACCCCCACCAAGAAAAGAAATTTTTTCTTTACAAAACACTTTTCATACTGAAAACGAAAAAATATTGACGCCAAACTTGGAAACAGTGATTCAGCTGCTGTTTACAATTCTTTGCGAGAACTTGAACCGAAACTATTGCCGTTGAATCTTTCAAAATATAGTACAAAAAATGTGTGCAATCTCATTAAAAAGGGAAAAATGAGAACATCAACAAAAATATACAGGAGATATTTATCGGCTCGATTACCAGCCGCTGTTACCCGGGAGACGGCGGTAATCGAGCCTAGGATTTAATTGTGAAATAAAAATTCACCTGATGTTCCCATGCTAGTACTGTGCTGTTTATTATGTTGCTATAAACAGTTTCATATTCGTGCTAATCAGATTTTCTTAGCCGGGCCTTCTGGTGTCTAGCAGCTTTCAATTTAACACTTTCATGCATGTAGTCAATGTGACCTGACACATTGTTTTTCCACTAATTGTCTGCAGGGACCAATTAGAGAAGTTTTGGGCTTCTTCTAGTGTATCAGACAGATAATTTCTTCGAAGGATGACAACAAACTTACTGCTGACGTTCTGTATTATGTAGCCTTCTTTAAAATACAATTATTTTCTCCTAAAACCTATAATTTCAAATTGCCAAGTATCAATTTCCTTATTACGCGCGCGGCGAATCTACCTCGCGCGCGACATGAAACGCATGCGCTCATTAGCATTACGTCACTAGCCACCTAAATTGTGCAACTGCTTAAAATATTTCTGTGCCGCGGCGTGTACGCGTGTAGTCTATTATTCTTCAGTTTGCCTTCCGTGCTGGAAGAGGAAAGTCGACGAGGATAGCAAGATTTCAATGTGGAGCTCTAATCTAGTGAGTGATAGAGGTCAAAACTTTCGTTTGTGACCAAGAGGTCCGGCGGTTTACGCGGACAAACGACTGCTTCCTTTCTTTCGCTTCGATAGCAACCCATTCTTCTCTGACGAATTTATTCATCGTTTTACGGACGTCTCTCTTTGGTGAGGCCAAACATGTTGTTGGCACTCCCTACAATCCGAGAGCGTTGTTTAAATCTTGTGGAAGGGGTGATGTGGTCTTTTTAAACTCTTACATGTAGTTTTCTTTCGCAGGAATTCGGCAGTCGTGCACACACTTTTATGGAGTTCATCATCGACAGTGGAGATTGGTGTCAGGCACAACACGAGTGAGGAACTTGCATCGTTGTGGATGGGTTGATTCTGTTTAATTTTAAGCAAAGCATCAGCGAGTTCACTGAATTTTGGCAGAAAACACTTTTGTAAGAAATAGAATTAATGACAGACATGAAAATGCCTTCTGGAACCCGAGTACCTAACCACGGAAGAACACTACACGGGCCAGGCCCTGTCATGGTGGAGCACAAGAACATGAAGTTTTTGATCACGGATCGACCCACAGATGCGACCTTGCCTCGTTATATAGAGGTAAATACTATTTTCTATGATCAGCTTTTCTTTTACAGTGTTAAAACTCACCCAATCTTGTCTTTTTCCCCAGGATCTCAAGAAATACGACGCCCATGTTGTAGTGAGAGTGTGTGAACCAACTTATAACGTCGATCTGTTAGAAGAGCAAGGGATTAATGTTCTGGTAAGGTTAAATTGATTCGTTCCTGTGTCATTTTATGGTGCAATATAACCGTTTTCGTTCAGTGATATCTGTTTTAGTTTAACAGGGTTTTTGTCGGTCAAACGCGCTACATCGTTCGAAAGGAAGTGTTCAGCTGTTTTGTAGTCGGCGTGTCCATTTTGATTTCTTGCGTTGACTGTTGTTATGCGTTCAAAGGAATAATTTATGGAGTTGTTTAATGTTGGCGGCAAAACCATACTTAGAAATTCTGATCTTTTTAGTTTGGCCTTGTAATCGATCATTCTTATAAAATATAGCCTTTTAATAAACCTTTGATGTAAATGAAATGGACATAAGACTTCGTATGAAATCAACAACGTCGAAACCGAAAGCGAATTGCTAGCATAATTTCTAATCTTTGGTTACATTGTGGCGTATTTTCTTCAATTTACGGCGTGCTCTGTTGCTCTTTCTTGGAGTGTATTGTTTCGTTTTCCATTCCCTAAAATTTTTTCTTAAATATTTCCGTTATGTGGAAATTATGCTAACCAATTTTCGTTCACAAAGCAAACATGCTTGCCTGTGGTCAAACCGGCTTTACCGGCTGAGACGACAGACGCGCATCCAGTAAACCAGCTCTTTTGCCGTTCTTTGTCGATACAGTGGTCTTTTGAGAATTATCATTCGTTTTACCTTAAGTACTCATGACATTCCCATGACCGGAACATTATAATCAATATATTTCTTCATTCATTACGTGCTTAACACCCTGGGAAGAAAATTATTTGAATTTCACTTTAGAAATGTTTGTTATACTGAATTAATGAAAAAGAGCAGTTAAGTGAATTCTCTTAGTTCGTCTTTTTTGTAGATCATATTGTCTACGAACCTCCAAACCAAAATCTCCCCGCCTTATTGATTACAAGGTTGCTGAGTGGTGATTATTTGAGGAGGAAGTCGTTGATGACTTTCAGTGTTAAAGCGTTTTTGACCTTTTTAAAAGGCAGACGAATTTCCTTAATGCAGTAGCTTTGTGTCACGTATATAACCTCGAACTTCCTGTTTATAAATAGTTTAACCATTGAAAATAATTACAAGTAGTAATACATGTTGAAAATCATGAATTCCCAAATCATTTTATTGATGGGTGAACTGACACTTTGGGATTTGGGGAAGAAGATTGAAATGAATATGACACTTTTAAAACAAGGAATGTTCATTGGTCCATTGGCTTTTAAAGTAAACTTGAAAATGTTCCAAGATATATTGCTCACAAGGGTTTTTACCACATAGCGTTCTGCTGTTTTTAATGGGTCATGTTTCCTCCGATGGTCCAAATATTACATAGGTCATTCGATTTAACTAGGTTTTTAAACTTTTGAATTTAACAATATTTGTATTTTGTGGTTCCAGAAAATATCCATACCTATTACCTGAATGGTCAATCCAGTTTTGGAGGGGAAGGGGATCTTTAAGGCCGAAATTTCTAATGAAAAGTATGAAGCTAAAGGAGGATTTTTCAATGGAAGGACAGAAGGGGGACAAATAAAAAACCGTCCTTGGGGGATTTATGGATATCTTTTATTCTTGGAACAACACATTCACCAAAATGGCTGTTATAAGTAAATTCATACCTGTAAATACATGCTAATCAACATGTCATCACAATGAATTTACCTTTTCTTTTGATACTTTCCTTTAGGACTGGGCCTTTGACGATGGCGCCGCGCCACCAAAAGAAGTAGTTGAAGGTTGGCTGCAGCTACTAAAGAAGAAGTTTAAAGAGAAGCCAGGGTCGTGCATTGCTGTACATTGTGTGGCAGGATTAGGAAGGTTGGTCATCTTTCTTCTAAGCTCACGAGGTGTAGTGATTTATGCGTTTTATAAGGACCTTCAACTCTGGACCTGAGTCATTTGAGATGCTGATTTCAAGCCTTGTTGTCCTATTTTCTCTCTTCACCCAATGACGGTTGCTCAATGCTGGATTGTGCCATGCACCAGATAAATAACTATCCAGCGGAAAAGTAGCAGGGAAATCAGTGGATAGAGATTTATCCAGGGGATACTAGGGCTCAAAATAACGACCGGCCAATGCACATTTTTACACACCAAGATGACCATTTGTCTGGACAAACTTTCATTTTGCCAGTCATTTTGATTCAACACATAAATATGAGACCAGAAAAAAAAAAACATTTTCAGACTATTATGTTTCAAGAAGACAAGCATCTTTCTTTTTACATTGTGTTTTTGCTTGTTTGGCTAGTAGGTTCAAGGTACCATCATATTATTTTTAATATTTTGCCCAGTCAGTAGAGAGACATGACCGTGCTAAAATTCCTTCCTACAGTCAACATGACGATTAACAGTCCAGAATGTATTTTGAGGTGTTATCCACCTTTTGAACAACTGAGGCCAGGTCTTTAAGTGGGTACCAGCAAAATACTGCGGAGACCATATCTCTGCAATGGACTAGCATGCCATCCAGGGCCAAGTTGCAATACATTGCTAGGTACTTAATGGTACAGCTGTGTAGCCTCCTTGACTGGCGTGTGTTTTAACGTTGTAGTTATGTATATTCAATTCACTTTCCTTTTCTGGTTTCTGTAAACATTTTGCTTTAAGGGTCACTGCAGTTACAGAAAATGTAAACATGTAATATATGTAGGAATGTTTACTCTTTCACGAGTAACATGCGCCTAAGCCCCATTATTGGTACTCTAAAAAGGCAATTAACTTTTTTTTTTACAGAGCACCCGTTCTTGTGGCACTGGCTCTAATTGAAAGTGGAATGAAATATGAGGATGCTGTGGAATTTATTAGAAGGTGAGGCATGCATTGAGTTTTCAATTCAGGAAAAAAAGTACAATGTGGATATGCACCTTGGCTTTGTGTACTGCCTTATTTGATGCGTATTTCTGAAGACACCATAACATGGGCAGACTGGTCAGATCAAGGTTGTAACAATGTGAATGAAACTAGGATCTGGTAAATTACTTTTGACAATTGATTTACCTTTTGCCCAAATCACTCCCATTTACCAAGAGAAGGCTTTGAAAGCTTGAAAGTAGAAGTGAAATTTGAAGTTTCAGTTTGGAATATGCCATCCCCATTGATAAAGTTTCCATTTCTGATGTTACATTGCTGAGGGAAATTTTCCTCTGGAACAACCCGAAAAGTTGTGTTCTACTTACATTTCAACTAGAACTTCGTAAACTTTTTGTAAAGGTTAAAGGGGCTGTGTCACGGCAGTCCAGTTCATTTTGTTTAATTTTTCCAATTACTCGCCCTCAATCACTATGGAAGTTAAAGTAAGCAAAGAAATTACCTGGAAATGACAAAATCAGAGATTCGAGACGAACAAATTTGTATCCTGAGCATTATTTTTTAAGTTGCAAACAGTAGAGATCAACTTTGAAAAACTGTTGGGCTGCACAGTTTTCAAAAACCCTAATTTCAATCCGTTTCAATCTTCCTCAGTTTTGCCCGTCCGTGGCATCTGTTGTATCTGTTGTGTTCTTTTAACCTTCCTTTAATGTTTTAAGCAGTTATTTTTACGTTTCTCTTAATTAAAAAGGCATTTTATAAGTACCTAATTTGGCTGAATTTCGCGACACAGCTCCTTTAAAATCACTTTGATTACTTATTTTGACTCTTTCTACCTTTTTTTTACAGGAAAAGAAGAGGAGCAATTAATGCAAAGCAGCTGATGTACTTAGAGCAATACAAGCCTTCAAAATTACTTAGGGAAAAGGGGGGTGCAAACTGTTGCATTCAATAGGAAGAGGGAACAGTGCCAGTCAACTGTAGTTACTGAAAAATTCTTGTTACTGGGACACAAGACAGCTGAATAAGTTTAGGATTATAGGAGCTTGATTGTGGAACTGACAAAGTTTCATACAGCAAAAATGTCACTTTTGATCTTCAAGGAGAGAGAATAGGCTAACTTGATTTATCAGCAGAGGTTATTTTCCACTTGATTAATTTTTACAATGACGTATCTGAAAATTGTTAATAGTACTATTAAATTCATGTAGCCTAAAAATCTTTCCGTAGGGTAGTGGCTCTGTTTTAAGAGCAAATTTGCAGTCTGTACATTGTAAGATTTGAAATAACTCCCAAGGTCTCTCATTTTAGTCATAATCTTCTAGGCTGCTGATGACAAAAGTGTGGCTGTAACTTTAGTTTCGATAAAATTAACCTTCATGTAGCTGTTGATGTAGACAATGTTTAACTATCTTTGCTGGGAAAATTTATTGTTTCTCATTCTAAGATCAGCATCTTTCTATATTTTTTATAATCGTAAATTGGAATTATTTTCTCCTTACTTTCAGTCAAGTGTTGAAACTCAATTAGCTAAATAAATAACATACACTATATTTCATGTCTCAAGTGAAGAGAGTAAGCTTTAACGCATGTACCAAAAATAAACTTCAGTTAAACTGAAATTATCTTACAATATGTGACAAATTGGATCTGCACACTTTATTGATAACGCCCTTGAAAAGAGGGTAACGCCATTTACTTTTTTGCCTAGTAATGGTTTTGTGTTCCTCAGAAAAATTTTTGAAAAGATAGTATCCTATGTAATGTTAATGGCTAACAAGACATCTGCAAAGTCGAACAGTGAGAACTGTTTGATAATTTTAAAGAGACCATCCTAGTTTCTGTAATGTTAGAGTGGCATTAGTTTGTTTTAACTTGAAGTCGGTCTAGTTCCAGTAACCTTGTATCCTATTAAATTTTAACCCTAATTTTATTAAATTAACTTAACTCAAATAATTATTTCCCTTTTCTGTGAAAAAAAAGACTTATTTTTAAGCAGCTTATTGTATTAAATGAAAAATGCAGAGCACTTGTATGCTTTTGTTTCCATCTTCCTTGTGATTATGGTACAATGTACATGACTTTATGATTAATATTACTCAAAGGATTTTTATTTTGCTTTTGTGCTGGCACAAAAATTTAAAGTATGAATACCTTATAACGCATGTGATAGTTTATTTGGTTGAAAAAGATTTTTTGTAAGAGATGAAAGATTTTTTGCTGCATGTGTAAGTCTTGTGAATGATTTGTTTGATTTTAAAAGTAAGCAGTAAACATTTCTATTCTTTCCTTATACTTCATGTCAGTTTTTCTAGTTGATATGGTACTTTAGAAAAGCAAAATTTGCAGTACTGAACTCAGCATTAAGATCAGCTGGTTCATCAAACAAACGAATGAAGTGAAATTTTAGTAGGACAGTCATAATATTATAAGTTACTCAATAATAATTTGAAGAGTATGATAATAAAGTATTTTCTTCATGTAACGGGAGGTGAAATGTTACCAGTGAATGTGAATCACAATATAATTAACCTTATTATAATTATTGCAAAGTGAACAGATATTTAAAAGTACATGTCCTAGGGAGTTAATGTGGGCTGCCAGTGAAATTTTATGGTATCAAGGTCTTATCTTCTGTTATATTATTTGACAAATAGACTATGAGCAGATGTCCTTAACAAAGGAAAAAAGTACAAGTCTGGAAAAAGTTACTATTATTGATACCTATATAACACTACTTATCTCCTGCTCATCTGTTTCTCAGAGGGTTTATAGTAAGTTTAATTTTCAAGAGTTTAACAGTGAGTTGCATGATTGCAGAAAATTGATTTACAGCATCAAAGAACAAAGCAGCTGTTTTGTTATTCTTCAGGTTTGTTAGTCAATGAAATGCAAATAAGTGTGAGGTGTTTTTCTGCAATCTCGCAACTTAGTGACTAGGTTGGAAGACCAAAGATAAGTAATTTGTCAAAGCAGATTTTAGTTGTCTTGAAACATTCATGCGAAAATAGGACAATTATACATTACTCTATCATAGTATCTAAATTTAAGGGGTAGATAGGCCTTTGAGTCTTTCTGGTCCAAACTAATGCCTAACAATGTTAAAGCCATTTCTAATCATTGATAACCAAAAAAGGACTTAAAGAACAAAAAAAGTAAGATATTCTAAACTGTCAATGTACTTGGAAGCAGTGATGCAATTTTTCCTACAATGGAAATACCATAAAACTGTGAAAGGTTTGAACCCAGGAGTCATTTCAAAAAATGGAAATACCATAGTTCTGAAACAAATTATCGTAGATTGTTGCAGTGCTTGTTTTCTCTGCACAATAAGTTCTCAACTCTGCAGAGTTTCTGTCTCTAACAGGTATTAGTTCTTTCATACATTGCATACACATAGTTTACTCGCGCACATTCACCTAGGGCAAGTTTCACAAAGGGATAATATTGCACATCTGCTTTAACCCTTTAAGCCCTAAGAGTAGTCAGCATCAAATTTCTCCTTGTAATATCACTGTTTTGTAAAACAGAGTGGTCACGAGAATTACCGACATGATCACACAAGATGACTTTGCTTGATATTTTATCAACTTCTCCCCACTACTTCTGTAGGAAATGAATAGGGGCAACAAATGAGAATTCCAATTTTGATCTTAGGGTTTAAAGGGTTAAGAATGGTTAGTGTAAGTTTCTATGGCAACCACCATCACAGATAAATTATTGCTTAATTTGTAGTTTGTATTTTTCTATTAAAAGGCAGCATATTAAATTTATTCCTCTTATTAAAGTGCACAAAAGTTAGCGAGAATAAAGACTTGTCAACTATGTCCTGTTGTTATTCATTCTTATGTTTTAAGAATATAATAATTTATAATTACTGTATTTATTTGAATAAGCGCCCAACCTGGAATTAGCACCCATCTCGAATAAGCGCCCATCCTAAAGGCAGAAAAAGTTAATAAGCGCCCAGCCTCGAAAAAAACGCCTACCCCCTCCTCCCCCCAATCAAACTCAAATAAGCGCTCACCCCCACCACACCCACTTGAGTGAATAAATTCTAATAAGAGACTTCCCCGAGGACGGAGTTTTCTTCAGAGTATTTTACAGAAACCTTGCTTTGTTACTTCTTCTCGTTTTGTTATTACCATTTATTGTTTTGTTGCAAAATAAACATACTTCACTTGCTGAAAGTGGTGAAAATTTAATAAGCGCCCATACTCGAATAAGCACCCACCTCGAATAAGCGCCCACTCTCAAGGTCCAAAAATTTAATAAGCACCCAGGGCAGTTAATCCAATAAATACGGTATTCCAATTTTTAAAAGCGTTTTTAAGTTAAATACCAGCAGATGATTGAAAATCAGCAAAATTAAGGGACTCAATCAACTATTTAAACCAATAGGAAGAGAGAGAGAGAGTCTAACATCTGATTTTGTTATGAAAATCCTGCTTAATTATTTTACTAGAAAAATAATTTAAACCAATAAGAAGAGAGAGAGAGAGTCTAACATCTAATTTGGTTATGAAAATCCTGCTTAATTATTTTACTAGAAAAATAATAAGACAAATTCCTTACACTTCACGTCAATAATTTTCTTTTTGTTTCCAAAACTGGATTTTTCTCAACTCTCTATGACGTGTGACGTGTGTTACCAATAGGCCTTTTGCATTAGTTGATCACATGATCAACTTTTGGTAAACATGAAAACAGTTGAAAAATTGTGTTAGTATGAGCTGAAAGAGCATATTAAAATTAGGTGACCTGTACATTTTCAGCCGTTTGTCTCACAAGTAGCGATTGCAAGGGCCACAGAAAATTAGCAAATCCTTGTAAGTTTCAAAATTTTCAAACTGTCATGAAATATATCCTTAACCATTATGGGGCTCAAATCTCCTTTTGATTCACTTGGAGCCCTTAAATGCATAATGAAAAGATTTATTGACAGTTTAAAAATTTCAGAATTTACAAGGAGTTGTATGGAAAACCCCTCAAGCGTGACTGGGTGACAAGAGTTGTTTTTCTCATGCAAATCCTTCTAATTTTCAGCGGCCATTGCAATCGCTACTTTTGAGACATACAGCTGAAAATTTACAGGTTACCTAATTTTAATATGCTCTTTCAGCTCATACTAACAAAATTTTTCAAAAGCGAACTGTCTTCGTGTTTACCAAAAGTTGATCACATGATCAACTAATGCAAAAGGCCTATTAGTTTTATTCCTATGCTCACTTTTCTGAATGAATTCTCGCACACAAAAGACTCTTTACAGAGCTTAAGATGTACAAGGTGCAGTATGTCAAACAATCAAAATGCACAATTTGTGTAGAATACTTTACAATGGTAGCCTTATAAAATTATACCAATGGGTGAAAATGAGCTGGAAAAATAAGTTCAATTTAATCGACGTTATAACGAACAAGGCAAAGGTAGAGTTGGCATTTGGCATTAAACATCCCCCGTTCCCACTGCCTCCTTTACATCCAGCTTTTAAATATTAATAATATATTTTTTGCGGAAAAAGTCCGTGATTCAACAAAAAGATGACAAAGTTAATTTTTTTTATTACTGTTTCATGCATTTGTAAAACATACAGTCAAAGGACATTTAAATACTACATGATGCAAACCTGTTTTTGCAAACCTGTTTTGCAGTCATCAAAAAAAGGGAAAAGATATTAATTTGTGAGAAGAGTGTTGCAATACAATGCCTTTGTGTCCTGTCAAACATACAAGACAGAAATTTGAGAGACAAAGTCAGTCTGCCTTTACTTTAACTTTGGTTTGGTCTTTAATTAATACTTGTTTGAATTGTGTTATTGTACAAACAAAACTCACATAAAATACAAGCAGATGCAGCCAGCAATTTACTTTAAATTTACATGAACATATCATCATACCCAGGGGGAGGCAAGTGGTCTGGATCTGGTCTGAAACATAATAAAACAATTTATGTTATGATCATTATGCGCACTACAGAGTGCAAAGAAGGTCAGTTTTACAGCTTTCCCTTTGGGCAAACTTTGGCAAGCATCTACTAATCTGAAACTCATTTTCACTAGCCTGAAAAAATTTTGGATGAGCAAGATTAATACAGTGAAACCTCTATTAAGCGGACACCTTCAGGACCTTCCCAAGTGTCTGCTTAAAAGAGGGTGTCGGCTTAATAGAGGATGCAAAAATTGCACAATGTATGTTAACAATCAACATTTGACGGTTACTCTGTTCTGTGAGAAAGTGGCATGTTGTTAAAGAAGCTATCCAGAGTTCAAGTTCATTACCTTTCATTACCAACCTTAATTTGTTTGTAAATGCAAAAACATTAACTGACTTAACAGTATGTATTTCAAGGATGTAATCCAATGCTACTATTGTCAATTCAGTCTGGTGTCTGCTTAATAGAGGTTTTAACAATAGAAATTAGCCAAATACAATTTATTTTATTGTCTGCGTCCGCTTAATAGAGGTGTCCGCAGAGTAGGGGTTCATTATAAAGAGAAATATCAGATGTTCATTTTGGGACCCGGTTTAGTGTCCGCTTAACAGAGGGTGTCCGCTTAATTAGGGGTCTGCTTAACAGGGGTTTCACTGTTATTATTATTAATTTATTAATACAGTCAACTGCCTTTATAGCAGACACTGTAGGGACCTTGACTTAGTGTCCTCATTAACGAGAGTCTGTAATAGTAGCACTTTAATTCAGTCAAACATCTGGAGTTTATTTTTGCCAGGGATTTAGCTGCTGTCTGTATTCTGGGGTACCTGTTATTGCAGGGTGTCCGCAAGGCAAGAGTTGACTGTATCAATTAATTATTACACCATTAGTTATCAAATTACTTGCTTTATTGGTTCAGTGTAATAATTTAGTGTAATAATTTCACTTCATCAGATCAGCTTGAAAAACAGCTTGCAATCCACAATTTTGTCTTACATTACTTCTGAACTTTATATTTTTCCAAAAAATTTGAAATGCCCGCTGTGCAAGTTAAGAACAGAATTCACTAGCCTGATCACAAAATCAACTAGCAGTGGGCTATCAGATACAACTTTCTTTGCACACTGATGTTATTACATGTCATAATATGGTGATATCATTTGACTAAGGACATAATATTATAAACCAAAAACAATTAAGTTGGCTACAACCCTGATCCCAGACACACAAACACAAATACCATGATAGTTCACAGACAATAAACCAAGTTTTTATAAGAAAAAGCACAACTACATACCCAGCAAATCTGCCTGATCTCGAATCTGCACGAGATCCTCCAGGAGGTACTGGACCAAATGGGTCAAACCTAGCCCCGGGTGGAACAGCGCCCCTGTGACAATCAACGTATATTTTGGTTTAAAACATGTTAAGTTGCAGGCTAGACATTGAAACTCAAAAACTGCACAGGCCAGTGCATTCCACATGCAGGCAACGTGCACGTGTTTTTCTTCCCAAAGCAACTTTTTAATCCAAACAAAGGTCCTGGGGACAGTAATGCGATTATTATTATTATATAGTCATTATTATCTGTTACTGTAAAACACTGCTACCATTTTGAAAATACCATTTTTGGCTATTCAATGGCAACATTACTGGCAAATGAAATCCAACAGGTCTTGAGTACATCAATGTTAACTTACATGTCATAGAAGTGCACCATTATTTTAGAAGTCTATAAATTATGAGTATTATATTATAGACTTAAGATCAATAACCTTGGTAACTGTCCAGGGCGGGGTGGAGGTCCAACACCAGTGGAGCCCATGCCTCCTGCACGAAATGGATCCATTAACATCCCACCACTGGTACTGAAAAACAGGGATAATTTTCAAAAATGTACATACTATGTCACTATGGGGAAGGTGCAAATAATCTGGGAAAGGACTGCAAAAGTAAACTTACCCAGGGTGGCCAGGGAACCTGTCACCATCTCCATATCCAAATGGTCCAACTGGGGGTGCCCTAGGGAGACCAATAGCACGCAAATTTAATAATTCCAGATTATTGTATCACTGATCAAAAAATAATCATACCATGCTTTATCCTTTTATTAGTTTAAAGTAGCTGCACCCTACCCCTGAAAAGTGCACTTGCCAGCTATATACTACTATTTAATTATTGGTTAAAGAACTCTGATAGCATCACCTGTTTCAAGAAATTACAGCTCTAGGAAATAGACTCAATTAAAAGGATTCCACTGAAAATTCTTTCAAATTTCAGGGCACTCTAAATCTGCACATGCTAAACGTGGGCTTTTCTAGTTTGACATTGGTCCGATTCTACCAAATATTCAAAGTCTTAAGAGGTAGCATCTTGAGTGTATGAGCTTTAGAGTCGACAGGCATATTAATTTTTCAACTAAAACTCTACTAATGATCTCTACATGAACATGACAAACACTTTCTTGTATAAAAAATATTAATTATCTTACCACTCGCCATGAAAATCAGGGGGTCTTCGAGGAGGAATTCTCAAAGGATCATCATCTATCAGCCTTCTTGACTGTTCCCTACTAAATTAGAAAATTTCTACTATAAATTTAATTTACATGTTAAGTCTCCTGAGATAAAAGAATGAATATGACTTTGAATGTCACTAAGAGTACAACACATCCACATTAATTTTGAACTTTAGACCAGTCATAACATCATCCACGTAGAAGATCTAAATATCACTGGCACAAAAACAAACAAAAATAATAAATAATATTTTAAAAGAAGAGATGGTTGGAAGGTCAATTTATTGATCATGTGAATGATAATAAAGTAAGAAGTGACAAAGATGGGAAATAATGCACAACGTATACAGTCGACTCTCTCTTAACATACACCCCTATAAGACGGACACCTCTGTAAAGCGGACACCTAGAGTTGGTCCCTGCCTTTCTTTACCCCCTTTATTTGAACCCCTATAAGACGGACACCTCTGTAAAACGGACACCTAGAACTGGTCCCTGCCTTTCTTTACCCCCTTTATTTGACTCTCTATAAGACAGACACCTCTGTAAAACGGACACCTAGAACTGGTCCCTGCCTTTCTTTACTCTCTTTATTTGACTCTCTATAAGACGGACACCTCTGTTAAACGGACACCTAGAGTTGGTCCCTGCCTTTCTTTACTCCCTTTATTTGACTCTCTGTAAGATGGACATCTCTCTCACTTGGTGCCTGTCCCAAAGGTGTCCATCTTATGGCCAATTTAGATGGTACGATTTTTGTTTAGGACTATCGTGCACGACCAGCATTCGTCATGACTTCACGACAGATTTTTTTGTGTGAATAAGACCCACAACATTTGTACGACGCATGGATGTTGTAAGTGAAAATTGTGCAAGTGTGGATGCTCAAAAGTCATGACATATGCTAGCCACACACAATAGTCGCAAGCAAAAATCATACCTTCTACATCGGCCTTTAGAGAGAGTTGACAGTAATGCAAGTTCACATTGGCAAAATAATAGGTTAATACCACTTTTTATTGGGGAGGAGGTGTATAATAGTTTTATTGACTGTAATCACGCTAGTGAAAGTATTTGAGGCTATGCTCTATTAGCAAACTAGAACACGGATTTTTTTCCACTCTGCCTGCCTCTTATAGACATCAATTTTTTTGTTTGTAAAATTGTTTCATTATCGCCTAAACAGTGAACATAGTTCCCAGTTCTGTACATTGCACACACCAGTCATAACAAAATATTTAATATTACAGGTCGTTTCAAAGTAGCTGAACTGAAAAGAAGTAGTTATATCTCCCAGTTATGAATTGTTTACTTTTACCTTTGATTTTCTCCTCTGGTTTCCTGTCTCCCCTCCTGAGAGTCTGTTCTTCTTGATCTAGAGCCAAATTTGTCCACTATATCTTTGAACACCTTGGATTTTAACTGATCCAGGTGTCTGAAGATGCTATATTAAGTGGAGATCAAACAGGGTACAAGGTAATGTAGGTTATTGCTAAAAAAAGTTTTCCTTTAGTCAGGCTTTAAGCCAGACATTGAAAACTGGCCGTCCAGAAGGCATGTTTTCCCATAAAATTATGTTAAAGAGATTAAGTGAATTTGCCTTGAATTTTTTCCAAAAATGGGCGTCCATAGGACTGCTGGACACCCTTCTGGCTAAAACCTTGTCTTTAGTGTAGAACTTGGTGAGTGATTCATGCTAACAACTATAAAACACACAGGACAGACACTATAGCTTAACAAAAAAAGAGACAGAGGATTCATAGATGCCTACGACCAAATGCACAGCAGGGTGATAAATTATAAGCAAATTATACAGTCAACTCTACACCTTGCACACACCTAGCATTAGTCCTTACTCTTCTTCAGTCATTCTCTTTTGCTTGATATCTAATGTTTACCTTAAAAATAGAAATTCATCTTTAAGCTAACCTGTCCATCTGCTGGGTGCCTTTAACATTGTTGTAATCAACTGATCCACAAGTGTAGTGATCAACATCAAGATTTGTATCATGCATTTTGGATTCATCTTCCTCCTACATGTATTAATAAGAATTTATTATCAAACATTCCTATTAGAGGTTACTAATGCACTGTTAATTATGTTTTCAATAGTAAGAAACTGAATTATGATTTTTAACTATTAAAGGTACTTATTTAACCAATGTAGTGAGGTACATGAACAAATCTGAAGTGTTACCTAATATATGAAATGATTTTAAGGTACAGTGGAACCCTACTGAAAAAAAACCTTTTTATTGTGGAGCATTTTTTTTTGCCTCAAGGTAAGGCATATGTCTAACGGGTTGACATTCGATGGCTGAAACCGACTGACTGAATGACTAATGGTTCTTTTACCTCCCCAGCACAAGAGTCAGATCACAGACAGGGTCTAAAAGCCATGTATTCCATACTTATCCCCAAAGACTAAAATTAATGTCTAACTATTTGCAGATGTGGGACAATGGCAGCTCATGCATTCTCCCCAGCTATTTGAAGATCCTGAGTGTTGGGCTGCCCAGAAATTGAAACCAGGCTTACCACTTCAAACACCGATTCTCTAACACAGACTTGCCAACAACCCCCAAAAGGCAAAATAAATGTGAGATTCTGAACCAAGAGCTGGGAAAAGTAGTAAGAAATGGGTAAAAAGTAGTGAGGTGTCCCAAATTTCCAAGAGGAAGGACTTCCAGTTGGGATAATTGGTTCTGGAAGTCACATATCACTATGTCTTTAAAGATGGAACTCATAAACATCACAATCAATTTTACGATTTAGGTTTTCTAATTTCTATGCTTTGTTGGTGGGGCCATCTTGAAACATGAGAAACAGTGAGTCTGCACATTTGGTGGCAGCAGCAAGTCACGGTAGGCTAAAAGAATGTAACCAAACTCGACTGCTTAAGGCTTTCTTTGGATTGAGCTGGCTATCTATGATATCTTCATGTAACTTGGAAACCAACCCTACAGCTCCAAATTTTTTTGGAGTTTGAGTTTTTGAGATTTGCGAAAAAGTTGTGAGACTTGGCAAGTCTGCAACCACTTTAGCTGACCAATTTATCCTGAATGAATAAGAGTGTCAGATCTAATTTTAAAGTCTTGTTAACTTAGCCAAGATGTAGGTAGAACTAGAACCTCGATCACTCGAACTCGGATAACTGGAATTCCCCGCTAACTAAAACTAAACTCCTTTTCCTTGATCAAAATTTCACTGAAATTTACCCCAATCTCAAATTTCTGCTAACTCGAACTGTTTTTCGTTTCCCTTCAGAGTTCGAGTTACCAGGGTTCTACTGTATTCACAAAGTGGTTGTATAAAGGTGGGGTTCCACTATAACCAACTGTGTGATTACAATAATTATTGTTACCACGTGAAGTTAAATATTAATTTAAAGAAAAAAAGCAAGCATGCAAGAGAATTATAAATAAAACAGCACAGTAGTAGCTTACGCATACCATGAGATACACCATAACTTTATCGCCCAGCCTGAGTGCCTTAAAAATAAACACTGCGGGCAAGTTCTCTCTTTGATACTGGAGTGCATAGACATCGTCAAGGCTATTCCAGTCTGGAGGAAGAGTTTCCCCAAAGTCACATTCCTGCTGAGGATTTCTCTGTGAATATAGCCACAAGATTTAAATATCAAAGGGGAAAGAAAAAGTTTTTTCAAAGAAACAATCAATCAATGACTTTATTTAACTTCGCATTTAAAGACTTTAAAGATAGCACAAAACATGCTAATATCTCCGAGCGCGCAAAAAGCGTCTGTCAATTGGGTATTACACGGGTCTTTGCTTTTTTAAAGGGACTTAATTATAATTTACAATATTTTAAAGTCAAAGTGGCAGTGCATGCAATGCATGTTTGCAGGTTTTTGGTATTAACGGTTATTTTACAGGAATTCATTCGTTTGCAGAGCATATTCAGCAAGATGTGTACTCACCTCCTCTCCAGAATTTATGCAACGGAATCCACGCTCGACAAGACAAGCGTGAAGAGCAAGAATAACGGCATCAAACTTATCTCTAAGCTTGTACAAGCGAAGAAGAATTTTCAGCTTCACTTCCGCCATTTTGTTTTCGTTTTGTCTTACTCTTTCCCAGGGTCCTGAGCGGTCGCACGAGACACAGATGGCGCGCCGCGTAAAAAGCGCGGGAAAATCCTGTTGAATTCTAACTTTTTTGTCATTTTGTAACAAATTATCACATTAAGAATTTTCCTGTTTTTAAGAATTCCTTCTGCTCTGTTTTAATATTACATACACGTTAACTGGGTTTGTGGGAATCATAGGATGAATGCCAGTTTGGAAAAAGCTGAGGTAAGGTAAAAGCTAAAGCTAAAGTCTTTTATTATGATGTTGAAGTGGCGAATAGTTGACGGAGCCTTCATCAAATCACTTAGTTTTTCTAGCCTCTGATGAAGACTAGTTTTGTCTAGTCGAAATACTGGGCAAAAAAATTTGTAAATTACCAACCCGTAGCTGTCCGATATAACGGTGGCCAATAATGAAGAGCTTGGGGGTTGAAAAGAAAAAAAATGAATAAGGAATATCGAAAGTTTTCGAGTTTTTTAGGGTGAATGAAATAACGAAAATTATCGAGAAGGAATAATGGGACAAATATGATGAACAATCCATTAAGCTTGTTTTATTTCTTACTTCTAGTATTTTTTTTCTTGTTTAATTTTGACAGCACGCTATAAAAGGTAGCAGCTCTGTAGAAATCACAGCGATGAAAATAAACAGTTCATGCGGTAAGTTCAAGTTTTTTTTCCTTGGGAAGGTCAACAGTTCTTGATAGATAATCTTTTAACTGATCATAAAATTGACTATTCAGTTTTTGTAGAATACATATTTTCTTGGAGTGTTTGTTTTTGTATTTTGCTGTCATTGCTTGCTGTAACCTCCATTTTATGTTTTTTGGGCCACGCAGAAAACTTAACAACAAATTTAAGGTTTTCGAAACCACCATTGATTGACTGTTTCATTCAAAAAATATTTGTCAGCATATTTAGAAGAGACGAATATGGAATTTCCAAAGGAGAAAGCAAAGGATATTGAAGGAGATGTGCCTTTTGAAAAAGTAAGCTTAGTTATAAATTACTCAACGATACAGCTAAGAAAAGAAACTAAGTTTGATGGCTTTATCAGCGATTTTTTTAAAACAGTGGTAAAACAGATAGTGCATATTGCACTGTCATCTTTAAAACCGCACATTACATTAATTTTTATTTTGCTCAAGAATTGTGCTCTGTTTGAATAAAGTTTATTTAAAACGGCGAGAGAAAAGTTCCGAGCCATCGCCAAGAATATTCCCCGCTAGTCGACCGAAGATTTTAGTCTCTAATAGTCTTTTCGGTTTTTTTCGAATGGAGTTCTTAATAAGAACAAAAAGAGTTCAGTAGGGCTATGAATGATACACGAAAAAAAATAGTGGTTAGAGTTTCGTTACCCGTCGCTCATTGTGTAAGGTTCTCGTTTGTTTCCTTTCAGGTAAATAAAAGTGAGATTTGTTTTAACAACAAGGGGGATAAGATATCTGTTGGAGAAGATCATGACGTAGATTTTTGTCAGAACAACCTCGGGAAGACCGGAGGTACTACTAACCTCGTATCAAGCAAAGAAGAAAAAAATGAAGAGCAAATTAGTCAAGGCATAAGAGACACCTCCCAGAACGAATTTGCTGGTCTTGGAGAAGATAATAGTATCATTGAGATACATCAAGCTTGCAAAAATGAAAAGAAGTCAATGAAAAAATCGGGCAGTGACGATGAATCAGTGGTTACTATTGATGAGTCAACCCTTGTAAAGTTCAGAAACAACTTCTTTGAGGTAATTTTTAGGAGGGTGTGAATGGGGTTAACCGACTAGCGACAAAGGGCAAAAAGTATTACTGACTACCCACAAAATGAGTAAAATATTACCAACTACCGACAAGAAAAATATTAACCGACTTCCGACATGGGCTGATATTATCAATATTTGTTTCCAGAAAAAAGAGCATTTTGCATTTGTTTTCTAGCCGTTAGGAAGTAACCTCTTTAAATTTATGACTCATCAGATGGCCTAAGGGAAAGAACTTCCTTTTTTTTTTGTTAATACAGGTACATTGCCACAGCCAATATCAAAATCACAAAGTCAGACCTTAAAGACCGACTTTACCGACTTTATAAATTTTATTGAAAAGTCAAAGGCGAAAAAACCGAACGTTTCTTGTTTCGGCCCTAGAAATGCTTAGATTAATCCTCAAAGAAAGTTTTTTCCCGTTTAATGGAAAGCACTATCATTACGTACAAACCCACGGTACCGCGATGAGCAGAAAGACAGCAGTTTCCTTTCCAACTTTTTCATGGCATATATTGAAACACAAAGTTTAAGCAAAACCGTCTTTAAACCAACTGTTTGAAAACGCTACGTAGATGACATTTTTTCCCTATGGGACATAAGTAAACCAGACATCGTAGCTTTCTTCGCGGAACAAGTAAACTTACATCACCCTACTATGAAATTCACGGCCGAAATATCTGAAAATGAGACATTCTTTTTAGAAACGGATGTACACCAAGGCACAACATTCAGCGAAAAATGAGAAAAAGCTATCCTTGACGTAAAGACGCATTTCAAACGGAAATCTTACAGTATATACATTTTCACCTCTTATCATCCACCAGTTGTTAAAGCGCCTGTTTGACAAACGAGAAGCCTTGAAAATCCTACGAACAAACTCCTCTGAGGAAGTATTTCAGATTTCAAAAG